TTTCAAAACTGCCCCCCCCCCCCCCCCCCCCCCCCCCCCCCCGCCGCCCCCGCCCCCGCCCCCCCCCCCCCCCCCCCCCCCCCCCCCCCGCCGCCCCCGCCCCCGCCCCCCCCCCCCCCCCCCCCCCCGCTTTACTGCTAATTTAATTGGGAGGAAAGCCGACAGGAAGAGTCTAACTGGATTAGCTCGAGGCCGGGATCGTCTGCCAAGAGAGATGGCTGTTTCAAAACTGCCCCCCCCCCCTTTCACCGGCAGGCTGGAACGAGCTCCTGATCGCCTCCTTCTCGCACCGCTCCATCACGGTGAAGGATGGCATCCTGCTGGCCACGGGGCTGCACGTGCACCGCAACAGCGCCCACAGCGCTGGCGTGGGTGCCATCTTCGACAGGTAACCCATAGGCCACTCCCCCCCCCCGCCCCTGTGGGCTGCTGCCTCGCCCCACACCGACCCAGCTGCCATCCCATAATATAAGGGGCCCGGCGTGTACTGCAGAGGCCTCCATTTAATTTTTGCTGAAATTCAATACAGGCATGCAAATCTACTGTGGGAAGCAGTGTTAGCAGCGTTCCTGTGTTAACGCACTAAATACAGCAGGACTGAATGTCACCTATTTTAAAGAAACAGACACAAGCTGAAGACGAAAGCGTAGCCAGTCGTAAATAAGGTGGCGCAGAACTACCATTTGGTGTGTAAATAAGCCAGCGTGGTTTACCAGAGCTTTTTTCAGCCTGTACCGTGGTACAGCGGTTTGCAGGTATGGGCGTCGCGAGACTGGCCCAGACGTAACTGGGTACCGAAAGCCATCTCCGGTTTCCCTTCAGAAACCAGGACACAGATAAGAACTGCGGGGGGGGGACCGGGGACAGGGGGGTAAACCGGAGAGGAAGGGTCACCTTTCATAGCCCCCCTCCCCCCCTTTGTCTGGGGAGGTCCTTACACTGCCCTCACTTGCTAGCTATTGTAAAAGAAGGCTTCTCAGGAGTGTAATTCAGAGTCCTTTGAGAGGAACAGTGACGAGCAGCAATTGGTTAGTATTGGTAACTAATTAAAACGGTACTCCATTCCGACACTATACCAACATTGTCACCACAACACTCTAATGGCGATGTCACTGATTCCACCCTCAACGGCGGAGGCAAGTCGCGCTCGTTAACATGAACGAGGATCGTCGACTTCAGCACTGGCCGGAAGAGTGCCGGTCCGCTCCGATTCCAGGAATTCTCAGTAACTGGCTGCAGGGTTTTAAGTTCTCTGTGGGTGTGTTGTGCAAATATTTACTGCTGCGTTAACCTCGTTCCCATGTGCTCGCCATTTAGTTCATATTTTCTTCGTTTTTATTTGACCACGTGATAATGGTTATATATTTTTTTTTATTTATAATGTAATATTCCGGAGTTCCGTCGCTGTAAAATCACCGCCCATGGTGTTTAGCAGTAAAACCCTTGTTCTCACTTGGACATATGCTGCTCTGTTACCATAACTACCATGTTAACATCCTCCAGCCCCCCCCCCACACGGCATGTCCTGCAAATCCTACGGGAGCTGGGTGTCTCACAAGGCCCTTTGTACTTGAGTTGTATCTTCTGATTAATCCCCCTGCGACTTGCTAACTTCCTCCAGGCCGTTTAACCCTCTTGAGAAGACTGAGAGCTGGAACTGTGAAGGCCCAAAAAATGATTCATTCTTTAAAAATTATATTGCACAATGTATGTTGATTTACTTGATTTGCATCACATTTTGTCTAAAGGCTGCAAGTCGTTTGCAGTAGAGACCGTCTTTTATGTGTTAATCCCAAGGAATCCATGACAGCTGTGTAATGTTGTAATAACACGTTCTGATTGAATACGCAGGGAGAGTGCGCACAATGCAGAGGTTGGGGCCATATTTGACAGGTAATATCACCACTACACGCACAAAACGACTGTTTTCCTGCACCCTAACTGATCGTTAAGGCATTGTGAATGTGGGGGAGGCGGGCGATGCGTGTTCCAGTGACGGCAGCACCCGTGTCACGGCGGGGCTCAGCCTGTGTGCCCGCGTGTTCCCCTCTGCGTCCGTGCCACCGGTCAGGGGGCCGCAGTCCAGGGCCGGGGCATTGGCACGATACCCAGAGGCCTTATCGTCGTCTGTGGCCCCCGTTGGGTAGGGAGGGGTGGGAGTTTGTTAGCCGTAACAGAAACCAGAGCCCTGCTCTGCATTTAATAGCACCAGGGTGGTACCGTCAGTTCGTTAATCGCCGGCGGCAGGAGAACGTTTTGATAAGGGTAACCGGAGCCGGCCAGCGGATGGCGCTCACAAGGATGCCTCGAACCCGAGACTACGCTCTCCTGCCTCTGGCTTCTCAGTGTGAATCATTTGGTCCTCTCCCCCTCATTTGTTAGAATGTGCTGCAGGAAAGGTGATGTAGGTCAGGAATTACATGTCTTTGCCCCCCCTCCCCCCCTCCTGTCCTCTCCCCTGCCCCCCCTGCAGGGTCCTCACAGAGCTGGTCAGCAAGATGAGAGACATGCAGATGGACAAGACTGAGTTAGGCTGTCTACGCGCCATCATCCTCTTCAACCCAGGTATGAAGGTCACATGACCCCCACTCCCTAACCTTATCCCTGGCCCATCGGCCCCATCAAGCCGGGTTTGTCACCCTGAGGCAGTTGGGGGGGGGGGAGTAAATATCACGGTGCTGCTCTCACGTGTCATGTGACTCCTCGCTTGGCAGTGTGACAGTGTCTGTCTTCATTGACCCTAGATGCCAAAGGCTTGTCAAACCCCAATGAAGTAGAGCTGCTGCGGGAGAAGGTGTATGCGTCGCTGGAGGCTTACTGCAAGCAGAGATACCCCGACCAGCAGGGCAGGTAACTCCAGCGCCCCCTGCTGCTTGCATGTTTTGCTTGAAGGCCTGAAGTAATTTTCTAGCCTCTGGATTAGTTTTAGCTTCTAATGTGTTTTTTGTTTTTATTTTAAAGATGTATATAGCGTTAAATAAAAATATTTCAGGTTGTTTTAGTAATTTTATTTTCAGACTGAGTGAAAGTTGTAGAGCTATTTTATGTCTGATCTTCATGTAATCTACCATGAATACGCAATGTGTATAATTGTTCTCAATGGGAAGAACAAGTTCCTGCTGTTAATGGTTAAAGAATCATTACATTAGCTAAGTAATATTCACAAAATGGTAACAAAGTATATTTGACTTTTTTTTAAATTTCGGAAGCGATATTTATAGTTTTTCATTTGGTTGTGTTTTTTGTTTTAAACACAATTTTTGTATCTTATTTCAGTTTATGAAAATGTTTAGTTTTTCTTATTGGTGGTATCCTTGGCATGAATGTATTGTTAAATTTAGCGTTATCCAATAGGTTCCCAGTTGGCCATTTCCCCACCGTGCGATACATTTAAGTTCGGTATGATGTGATGTAGCCGCTCGCCGGCGCCTCACTCTGGGCCGCGCTCCCCGACAGGTTTGCGAAGCTCCTCCTCCGGCTGCCGGCGCTCCGCTCCATCGGCCTGAAGTGCCTGGAGCACCTGTTCTTCTTCAAGCTGATCGGCGATACCCCCATCGACACCTTCCTCATGGAGATGCTCGAGGCTCCCCACCAGCTGACATAGTGTCCGGGTGGCGTGGGAGGGAGTCCCGCTCTGCGCTCTCTCCGCTCGGCCTCCCGTGGGCCCGGTCCCGGGGCTGCTTGGTCTCGGCTGGATTCTGGTTCCCCTTTCTGCACCGTCTCCCTGAGTGGCACAGGCAGGCACGAAAGACCTTGTGCGGTCAGAAATACTGTTTTCTATTTCCCGTACTATTTATATGAAGCTAATCGCCACCTTGTATCGTTCAGTTTTTAAAGCTAAGTGTGTGTGTGCGTGCGTTGCACGCGTGTGTGTTAAAGTGGCTTTAAATTTCTAAACTCCGACTGCCAGATCCGTGTGAATCAGGGAGCGATCTCGTCACTTCGAGTGGTGCAAGCGGTGTCCCGACCCATTCAAACAGGCCCTCAGTTCATACCCAGGCTAGATCCGTACGTCATACATGTTAGTGTACCATTCTAGACCCACCAGGCTATTGAGTGATTCATAACCACCTGATGCTGTATGCTTTTAACTCATAGTACCCGGTTTGCATCTTATTTCGTTAGTGTGCTTTCATAGGATATCTTCCGGAATTGACACTGAATCTTGCATGACGTATGCAGTTGGTGCTTGAGATGAACTTGAAGTACTGTTCTCATGTAATGAGTATATTTGCAAATTGAAGTCCATTTTCGGCTGGCTTTTGCAAATGCCTCTTAGATTCCTAGTTATTATGCAAATCTTGGTTGTTTTCAAGGTCAGGTATATGGAATATGCTTTTTTTTTTTTTCCCCCGTAAGGCTTTTGCTCATAGCCCGTTCTACCCTGTAGCCTGCATCTGTTGTCTGCCATTTTCCCAAGCTTTAGCGATTAGCTGTGTCCCGTGTTTGCTTCAGCCCCACACCATGCTACTCAGCCGACGCTAAATCGTTTTGCTTTGCGCCAAGAACAGACCAAAGTGTTCTCTGGATGGGAAATTGCACTATGAGACACAAACACCCCATATGGGTCCTTCGAGAGGCAGGAGCACACTGACCTGCTCGATGTCCGGCTTCCAATGGGCCTTTTGGCCTGAAAGTCCTCTAGAACTGAGAAAGAGGGGTCCTTGCGTTTTGATCTCCAAAGAGGAATCCGGCACAGTTCAGTATGTGTGTGCTATTAGCTAACTGGATTTGCAGCAGAGACTGTGTGTATCTTTACACTTGACAGAGACACTGTTTTGTAGGGGGTGCTGTAGGCACAGGCAGAAACATGAATGACTGAGGGGAACGGAGGGTGAATAAGGTGTGCCATTACCTGATCACCTGGCAGGGGAAATCAGTTTTTATTGCTGCATCCTTACTGACTGTCTCATTGTCTCAGTGGCTTGTCTGCCACGTGCACTATTATCCTGCGCACCAGGGGGCGCCCTCGGGTGTCAGCCGGGTTAATCTTGCGGGTTGTCATAAGCTCTTGCTGAGCTGCCTGGCCTTGGGGATGGTCTTTCTATCTCTCACATTATTGGTTGAGTTAAGGGGCAGAGGTCACGCAGCTGTTAAAGGTCAAATCTTATTGTCTGCAAACTGCAGCAAAGTTTCACGGTCAGAGATGATTGAGAACTTTTTTTTACTATTAATGTTTTCCAAGGTTTATTAAACACCAAAATGGTGTGGAAGCTACCAAGTAATAAGGATGCACTGTGACACAAAGCCGTTTGATTTGGCAGAATCCAGCGTAAAAATGGGGAAATAATTTCTTCTATACAGCTTTGCTGAGCTGTGGTGAAAACCAGCCATGGAGGAGAGTGTATGTGCTTAGTTACAGATATTAAGCTGACATTTGGAGGGTATTCGTGACACAGCGTGCACGGAGCCCACTTACCAGACATTGAACAGTGGTCCAGTTTTTTTTCTGTACATTGGTGCTACGTAACGTAAAAGTCTGCCTGGAAAGTGCTCCGTGCGTCGCCTGAGCACGTATGCATGCATGTAGGCCCACACACGTATGCACGCTTGCACAGGTTCAGCACTGGTGATCCCAGATGCAGCTAACGTGCATGAACGTGATTTTACTTACACACACAAACACACACACCTGCGCGCACAATGACAATTATGCAAGCGCACAGAGAGCCCTCAGTGACCCAGAGGTTTGTAAATTTAGCTTAACTGTCTCTCTGTTTCTTGGACCATCGTTAGAGACTTAAATGTCTGTGTTAACAGTTAACACTCCGATATGTAATTTATACATAGAATTTAGCAGGTACTGTGCAGTCCTTACAGGGTAATCTGGAGAATCAAACGTACCGCCTATTAGGTACAAAAGCTAGACAAATGGGGGGGGGGGACGAGCCCTCTGCTGCCCGTCTGTCTGTAAATGGATCATGATCACGGCTCCCTTAAGTGTGTGTGTGAAGTTGTAAATACACAGTGACTACAGGAGCCGCTTTGCACTAGTTGACGTGGGAACCGGCGGATGTGGTCAGCCGCAAGGAGCTGGGAGGTCTGGCGGAAAGAGTCCCCCCCCACCCCACCCCCAGCTAATGTGAAAATGAATCTGCAATCGATTGGGGTGCTCTAACATCCTTAGGTATTTGTGCCATCCACTCTAACCTTGTTCAAAGTAGGCCAGGCAGATCCCACTCAATCTTTATGTATTTGTACAACCGGAATCCTAATGGACAGAGATGTTAAAACATCTATGTGCTGATGGGCAGTTGCGCTCCTTTCGTGCTGGCAGACTAACTGATGGTTTATAAGGTCGCTGACTGTGTGTGTTATAAGGTCGCTGACTGTGTGTTAGGGTGTGTGCGACACGAGCGTGCGTGTATGAGTGTGCTTAGGGGGTGGATTATCGGCCAGAAGCGTGTAGGAAAAAGTAGTGATGAGATTAACAGTTTAGTTTGGCTGTCTAACCGGTTTAATGTCCTATGAGCCTGTAGCTACCTTTCCTGAACTCAAAGACTCTGAGTCAGTGACTATGTTTTACGATTACTTGATGATTATTTTTTTTTTTTGAGCCAAATTGCTGATGACAGATGCTTATATGTCAGATGTCCTTTTTCATGGTAGTAAGGTGGCTTTATGCTCACCTTTGGTGTCGCCTTCCATGATGGGCCGGGCACAGCTGTACACGGTCTCGGGTTTTTAATTTTTTTTTTTTTTTAAACCATTTCGGGTAACTTCCATGTGCATGTAATTCTCCCACCACCAACCTTCCTTAAAATGCAGCTGTGGTGGAGGGCTGCATAATGCGCAGGGATGCAGTAATGCAGAATGCGCCGATGTGTGTGCTGCGGTGGTGCCCTGGCGCTTAGTTACCCTCGATTCACTATGCTCAGGCTGCATTGTACGAGTGCAGGTGCCCGTGTGTTTAGCTTCTGCCGTGGACTGCTGCATTATCCTTTTTTTTCTTTCTTTTCAGTCTTCAAGATTTTTTAATGCATGTTGGCTTTCCGAGACCAGTCAGCTTGCTTAAAAATGAAAGCTAAGGGTATGGAAAATAAAGCAAACTTGAGTGTAATGACCATTTTCGAAGGTGTCCATCTGATTCCCAACACAACTGCCATTCTTTTGATGATTTTTTATTTTTTTTCCTTCCCCTCTCTACTGACTGCTCTAGTCCATCTTTATTCAGGAGTATTACGCAAATGCAAAACAGTTATATCAAATGGAATCTTAATTTCTCTCTATTTTTGTCTTCTATGTATTTTGACTCCAACATAACTTGGAAATGATTGACTTTGTGTTAAGAAAAAAATGAATGAATGTAATGGTTTTTGGTCATTAATTCTGCAACTTTCTGTTTGATGTATCATGTCAAAGTAAAGGTTTTAATACATGACCATTTCAGACTTCTGTTTCATTATTTGATGGCTGAGGACCTGCAGTTTGCTAAGGACAAATCCCTTTTTAGAAGCAAATTATTACATTGATTAATACTCAAACTTATGCTGATAAGACTACAAAGAAGTCCCATCTACATCTATGACTTGTTTCTGAAGCAGGGGTAGCCATTTTCATAATGGAGAATTTGTTACTAAAATATTAAAATGCCTTTCCCTCCAAAAAATAGGTGTGATTCGGTGAATTGTACTGTAACACTTTTTACTGGAGAAAATGGTATTTCTGTACTTGACCTAGTTTTCCCCTTTCAAAGAAAAGGCACTGTAATCGTCAGTCCAGAAGGACCCCCGGGCCCCGACTGACCGGTGGCGCGGCACTTCTCTCATATCACCGCCAGAGGGAGCTGTAATACTCTCCCTCTTAGGGGACTTCAATCTTCACGACAAACGTGTTTTGGTATAAATTGTTCAATGTCCTTCTAAAAGTCATGTGTGTGATAGGCATGTGTTTCCCTCTATAATGAGTGTGTTGATGTGTTACATAAAGGTAAATTACAAAAATATACATGATCTAGATGATATACGTGTGTTTTTAAAAAAAAAAAAAAAAAGTGACTGTTAGGGACCGGAATGTTTTCCTTGCCTATACAAAAGTGAAAGTACGACTTAATTAGAACGGCTAGATAAGCGTGTAGGCTCTCATAACTTAATTTGCACGATATATAACATTTAAGATCTAATTTTAAATTTCTAATTAACGACCATTTACATAGTAACATTAAGATAATGTGATGTATCTGTTTTAAATTATATTCTTGACTGGGCGAATCCAGATCATTAAGAAGACGAAACATTTGAGTGACTCGGGCTGAAACAGCTGCTTCGAAGAACGAATGGGTTTTATTCAAAATGTGACCAGGAGGGGGCAGGCGTACAATAACGCCTCTGTTTCACATCTCCGGTGGTGTTCGCTTTATAAACGCAGTGAATTTAGTATACACGGAAAATGTATTTATATTTGATAAATGGTAATGGCTTGTCTTGATAAATGTAATGGCTTGTCTTGATAAATGTTGGCTATATCAGATATCTGTTCTTTTAATTTAAATTTTATAGCCACTGTAAGTATGCTTTCTGCCTATTTTATATATTTTTTAGAGCTTTAAATTGTAGTTTAACAGAAACTTTGGTTTTCTAGTTCACTTGTGAGCAGTATACAAGAATTCATTGTGAGTCTTGTCTTGGGATCCTTATAAAGTGCCATATTTTCACTCTCCTCTCTTTCCTCCTTCCCTCCCTACGCCCCCCCCCCCTTTAGGTGTGGTGATGCATAAATGAAGCCTTTATCCTCCAGTTGAAATTCCACCTTCTTTTAACTTGCCCTCAAAAATGTTTGATTTCTCTGGATTAATATTATTGCTGCGTATCAAGCATAAGAAATGCCTTTTAGGTTACACACTGCCGTTTGTTTAAGGAAGCGTTAAGTAAAATTCCCCTGCGTGAACTGCTGGTAGATGGCATGTGATTTACCCTGGGGACTGCCCTTAATCTGTAGAGATACCTAGGTACCCTTCGTAAACGCAAAGAGCCCCACACATCCATAGAATGTCAATCTAAAAACATTGCATGCAACGAAACAAACCTGGTTATCTCTACTTCTACTGTCACACACAGGTGGAAATAATATGATTACATGTGACAGTTTCAAATGTTACTCATTTGTGGATGCAGGGTTGCCAGCTCTCACGCATCTGGTGTAACACGCTTTCAGACTTACACTCATACTAGAAATCTCACGGAAAATCTATATTTTTCCATTATAAACCCAAAATTAGCTACAACAAAAGCATTGGGGCAGTTTGCAAACCATACAGACTGTTTACGAGGTAATAAAACTCTTACATACATGTAAATGTGTGCAGACTGGTTTCATTGGAAATCTCACTCCAGCCAGCTGACCAGAGTTGGTGAGCTTGTGGACACTCAGCTCCCTTTGCTTTTTTTTTAAACTCACCATTCATTTTGTTGAGTTTTAAAACTAGTTAGTATAATCATACTAATGCATCCTCATGTCTATCCTGTGCTGTTGTCAACTTTTTTTTTTTTTTGCAAAAAGGCTGTTAATTAAGGGGAAGACACCAGGGTTGGGGCCATTCCGCAATGCATTGATCAATTCCAGTCCAAATCAGGAAATGGAACTGGAGTTGGAACTTAAATCTCCCTGAAATTCAAATTCAACTCCAATTCTGTTCCCTTTAGTTTTTTTCCCCAATCCCAGCTCCAGTTCCATTTCCTGATTTGGACTGGAATTGACCAATGCATTCCGGAATGGCCCCAATCCTGGAAGACACATACCTAAACAAATATACAAATCCCACCTAGGGTATAGGCTGATTGGATAATAGACTCTGGGTACACTTTCATATATTTAGGAATAATGAGTGATCAAATTATAATGAGTTTCTCCATGCCAAAAACTGTTTTATATTTTGGTTCCCTCCCCATCTCCAAAAAAGGCATTTTCCTGGTACCTCCTTGTGACATCACTGACTCCTGCGCTGCAGTCGCAGTGCCATGCGGAGCAATGTGGCCTGACCGCTGATTACTCGCTGCGTAAGCTGTACTTTGGGTGCAGTTTGAGCTGCAAAGTATACAGCTGAAAGAAAGCAATGGGAAGACTGCAAGGCAGACAGGGGGTAATCGTACATCGGCCCAAATTTATTATGTAGCGTGAAAGAATGCACAAAAAAACATTTTTGGAGAACAAACACAAAATCAGAATTGAAATGAAATTAAATAGGAAGTAAATCTGGCATGTCAATTGCAAACTGAGTGTTGTGCAGCATTGCCGTGAGAAGAGACTGACGATGTGCCTCATCATAGTCACAACGGTAGACTTAGCTATTGGCTATAAAGCCGGACGGTACCTGCCCTGTGACGGCAAAGAGGAGCCCCTCCCCATCAGCAGGAAATGTGCTGAAACGAGGAGAGGAAACAAAGAATGAACGACGGGAAGGAAGACTGGACAGGGAGGGGTACTTTTATGTTATTGTTATTTATTTATACAACTATCCATGGCTGAATGCACAACTGCAGACTGGATGCAACCCAGCAAATCCTCTTTGATGCCTCGCCAGCGGAGAAGAAGGAGAGAAAAAACAGAGCTTAGATGTTCTTCTGAATTTCTCTGTTGTTTTCAGTATCTGGTTGTTGGTTCTATCACTGATTAGATTGGCCATTTTTGTTATGGCTCTGGGCAGAGGGGCCGCTGTGTCAGGGGCTCACCAGGTCAAAGTAGCATGCCCACAGATCTCCTTTGCCCTGGTCAGTCACTGAGCCAGCTGTCCTCTCCTTGTCCTTCTAAACTCATATCTTTAGTGTCTCTGCTTCTTCCTCTCTCACAAAGGACCCTTCTGTTCCTGCTAAATTTTTGCCTGCCATCCCAGCCCCCTCCTCAACACCTCAGTGGTACATTCCATTTTCCCTTGTCCTACTTCCTTCCATTAATATAGGCCGGTCCATCCTGGGGTCTCCATTCACCCCACTACAAATGCATCCGTGACTGTTTATTTGAAGTCGGGGTACCTGATTGATATGCTCTGTCCTCACTCTGGCTCGGTAGGTGGTCGGCTGAGGTCTGAAGCTGTGTGTGTGTAGAACTTCTGGAAGCCATAAGGTCAGAGTTAGGTAGTTGCGTCCCTGTGGGCACAGGCTCTACCTCTGTGTTGTGATGTCAGTGTAGCACCCCCACCTGACCTCTCAGATGTGTGAATTTGCACCCCCGCCCCAACCTCGTGAAGAGTGCAAGAATGCTATTCGCAGCTGCATTTATGGAGCTTTTGTCCATGATCTTTATTGTCATACATACTTTGGTGCTTGACTTGAAATTTTAAGTTAAGGTTACAGTGGGATGACTATTGATAAACCAAAAAAAAAAAAAACTGAAATAGCAAGAGAATTGTAAAATGTTAAGGATATCCTTCCAAAACTGAACGCCAAGATCTTCCAGTGAGAAAACACTGCTGTCTACATATTGATTATCTACATATTGATTTTGAACTGTTTAATTCAGATTTGGTAAATTCCACCGGATTTAGGATAATACACTTGAAACAGCAGTTTCACTATAGAAAGAGAAGTAAAGTCTATTTCTGACATTATTTAGAACCCAGAACTAGACATGCTCTTCACAGAAAAATGCTGAAATATTAACATGTTTTGATTGACAGGAAAGGCGACTGAATTATTTAACAACTTTAAAATAAGTCAGAAGTAACTAATTTAGGTCATGGTCTGCTTGTGCCCTGAACATCACCCTCGCTTTCTGCTTTTCATGACCCTCTTCTTCTCCCTGCGTCGCTCTCCCTGTGAAGCCCACGGTTCTGCCAAGCGCTGGCCGTCGCCCCCTTTCCCAGCCACGTGTTAGCCTCCCTCCCCACCCCGGTCACCAGCGCGTGCTGCTTTTCGTCGCGGCCCCTTCGCTCACCGGCTTAGTCACGGCTGGCTTAGCGAGGCCGGCCCTTATGCTGTCTCAGCCATCTGTCGGCCGCCGATGAAAATATCCTCTGGAAAACCTGTGGGCTCTCGGATACCTGGGCTGTGGGCCCCCCTCGGGGACGGGCATCCCTTGGTGGGCCGGTGGGAGTGCCCCCAACCCCCACCCACCCTCCTATCCCACCTCTCTCTTTTTCTGGAATCTCCCTGTACAAATAGTGTTTGATCCCTCTCACCCTTTCCTCAATGGCCCTCATTCATAGCTTCTCTCCTTGCAAATACTTCTGTACTCCCCCCTCCTTCAGCCTATTCATTCCTATGATTTTTCCTCCCTGTACCTTTCCACACGTTCCTGCCGTGCCCTCTCTCTCTGTCCCCACCTCTGCGCACCTCCGTGCCAACCTGCCAGTTAAAGTCCCCCTCGCCCTCTTACCTTCCCCTGTGTCCCCAGTAAACTTCTCTGTCACCACTATGCTTAAACATTTATGTTCCAACGATAACAGTTCCGCCTCATCTTGTCTCCTGTCAGATTTTTTTGTATGATTTATATTAAACTGTAGACTAAAAATTGTATCAACTATTATGACGTATTTTTGTATGTAAAAAAAAAAAAAAAAAACGTATTGAACCTAATTGAGACATTAGCCTACAAATTCAACAAAAGGAGCCTGCATTCTGCATTGCAGAGATCCTTATAATAACCATATAAGGACAATTGTGATTAGGTCATACAAAAGTATATGCTTCTTTATATTACAGCAGACCAACCACTATTAATAGTAGTGAATGTGATTAAAAGCATTGCTATTTAAGTTGTTGGCAAAATTATCTTTAATTGTGAGTGGTGCTTATTTAATGCCCTGTGAGTTTACTGAACCGGGTTTAATGGATGGAAAATGTTAGACTCATATACAGACACAACTGCCAAACCCTAAACATGCATATAAGACACCCAAAATACATGCACGTACACAAACACGGTGTTGCACAGATCCTACAGATGCACTGACGCATGCTGTCCTTGCACCGCCCAGCCTGTGCACACACACACACCACAGCCACACAGAGACCAGTTATACAGTGGCAGCCACATATTGCCAGGTCCGCCCATACCCCCATTTAGCACACCCACACACACACACACACACCAACATGGGAACTTTTTTCCTTGGGAGTTGATATTTATTTGTAATTGAAGTGTTTCTTTTAGGGTTGTGTGCTAGGTCATATCCCAAAGTCACGATCTTCGCCCTGAATCTCCTTTTCCTCACAAATTCCTTCTCAGTTAGACTTAACAGTGCCTATGTTCAGCAAACAGTGAAATCTACTTAAAGTTAATGTGCCGAATTAAGCCCCACCAGTGCGTGAAGCCCCCCCGCTCCACCTCGTTATTCTCTGATCTATTTCAGTGTGTTGTGGCCTGTAGGGTGTGTATGCATGGTTTGCAGCCCTGCCCAGTAAAGTACAGAGCTTTCAAGGAAGTCAGCTATATAGTATGGTTGCTTTATTGTAATTACAAGGTCCTCCTTTTCGGAAATAGCAGGGCTTCCCACAAGCACTTGCTGTGTCTGTCTCTATGGCAAACATTCCTACTCTCTCGCCCCCCCGCTGCTGCCGCACAATCGACCCCACGATTGGTTTATCTCAGATGCTGGCACGTCATGCCCAGTGCTGCCCATGGATGATGCCACTGCTGCCAGGTGGTCTGCTGGTGCACTTGCTTTGCTCGGGTGTAAAAACTGTGACTTGGGTGGTAGATCCTGCCTGGGAGACCCTCTGATTTCGGGGCAAGGCCTTAATTTGAAAAGGATGAATTAGTAGCTTCCATTATTTCAAGATGCCATGTGTTAGGAATTATCCAGTAATTCATATCTTGTAGTGACCTTCAAATCAGCTGGAAAGGTTTTAATAACAAGGATGGACGCTTATTTTATTAGTGTGTTTCAAAGGTTTCATTTACGATTCAAACAACTATAAAACATGGGAAAGTTAATTAGCTTTCATTCTTTCAGTGTCTTGTTTTCTATTTCTTTAAAACTAAGTCTTCACCTTTGATTTGTTGACCCAAGATGGTCCGTTTCAATGTACCTTTCATTCCGAGGTCCATGCATTGCTTTGTTTCTGAAGTAAAGCGTCTCTCCTTGAAAGCAGAGCTATAAAGCAGCAGTCTAGCTCACAGATGTCATAATTTCCCATTTGCTGTTTCTCTCCATACCGTTCTTTTTTCCCTCATGGCCTTTAATCCCCTTATCCAGCTCTGTGTCTATGGCAGAACCACACAACTGGGAAAGTTGCAATTATGCTGTTTCATTGCAGAGACTCACAGAGGCGACTGTGTCCTGGCGCTCTGCTATACAAACACATGCTGTGGCTCTCCCCAAGTTTCTCTTTTTACATCCTGCGGGTTCAGCAGTCAAAACCTAGGGGGCAAGAGTGCTTGGTTGAGAATTATAGTTGAATGCCATAGTATCCAAAATAAAACCCAAGCCCAGTGATTTAACTTCTAGAGATGAGCAATACCACAATGGCTCAAGTTACTCCTGGTGTTTGGTGAGAATAGAATTGATAGCAATCGAAGTGAAAGAAATATTTCATATATAATACTTTACTTTAATTGCCGTAAATCTGACAAGTATCACATGCATCACTGGTGATATAAGTAAAGGTAAAAACAAAGAAATCTTGTCTCTTTTTAGGCGCATTTTTTAAAATGTTGAGGTCTCTGGTTCACACCAATTGGCAGAAGCTAAAGGTTCCATACATTTAAAAATTGTTGACTTAAACTCCGGTGTATGGAGGGCGTAACAAAACAGCAGATAGCAGGAACACCATAAAATGTACAGAATGAAGGAAATCAGAGGGACTGAGAAAAGGGCATGAAACATCAAACGATGGCTCAATTATTGGCTGCTTACTCTTTCTCCTAAATTCATACATAATTACTAAAATAGTTACGTCACTGAACAGTGTATACACAGCACATCTTAAAACATCTGCAACCAAGAACATAAAAACAGTCTGCGGGTGTGAGGGAAAGACGTATAATTATACTGGAATTACAGCAATAAATTTTAAACCTACATTTTTTAGTTTGAACTGTCATCTTAATGGAGATAGGTCATGGTGGGGTGCTTTCTTGTGGTTAATGTGACAGTTCTCTCTACACCTACCTTTGAAGAGGTATGGAGAAGTACATGTGACCCAGACTATCATTCAGTCCAGAAGCACAGCTGTGCATGAAGTGGTCAATAGTCTCCCACCTGCGAAAAAATTGTAAAAGTAGAGTTTCTTGTACCCATAAGCATGATTGACATTGCAAACTGGATTTTTCCCTGCTGACTGACATTTAATTCCTGGAAATGTCACTGGTTAATGGATTTCTCCTTGTTCCTTTTTTTTAAGAGCAAAAGCCAATATGTACATGATTCAGCAGGTGAATGTGTGGCACTCCAGGTGCACTGTAGGCGGTGTAGCTGTTAAGGCTTTGATAGTGTATAAACAAAAATCATCTCTACGGCAATGAATGGAAAATATAAAAAACACATAGGTGATTTTCCTGCTACGTGGCAAACAGCCATAAAACACGTAATTTATGCATACAAATAACCATACGCTGGTTTGCATAATTAAGATGAAAACATCTTGCTGAACTGCTTTTGGGTCTGTCTTATTTATAGAGGCATTGCATTATTAGGCGTTTTTTATTGTTTTTTAAAGTTTTTTTTTCGTTGAGAAATGCTTTAAGCGTTATTGTCTATTGTATATTTCTCGGAATTTTGTTTTGACCGTCGTTTATTAATTGTATGGGTGAAGATCAAATTCTAACGCGCACCTCCAAATAGCTTGTACACTACACTTGTGCACCTATCGGCCTCATCTTGCGGCACCTGGCTCTCCAGTTACGCCATGAGGTTTTGACCTATCAGGGTGCACAGGCGAGGTGAGACATCCAATAGGGTGCGTCAAAGGAGGCGTGGATAATAGTTTGAGCGGATAGGATCCGCGAGGCCCTGAACTCCGGACCGCGCTGATTGGTCGCCAGGGTCCACTTAATAATTCCAAGGACCCACCGGTTCTACCCCGGTCCGATTGTCTTATCAAGTAGATCTACGAACGGAAAAATGTACGTACAGACAGACATACAAAACATTAATATTTAGGGGGCGTCCATCCCCAGTTTGTGAGGGGAATTAAGAGGGGAATAAAGACGACGGTTACAAAGACAGGAATAGAAAGTACGAAAGAACAGGTGACTGGTTATATAAAACCCTGAAGTTGAAGTTGTTTGTTCTGTACATCCCTTAATACAGACAAACCAAATAATAGTTTGTTTATTATAAATAAAAAGTAGCAGATAATACTGAAGCGAAACTAAAATCACAATTTAACCACTTTGCATCATTATTTATCTTTCATAGGCCTGCTTTCTTGTCATTTAAAGACGTATGCTACGTGTACCCCGCGCGCAAGTACGCACGCGAGCTCGCGCCCTCCCTCTCTCCGCACTCTCACTCATTCACTCTCTCTCCGTCTGCACACACACGCTTCTTCACTTTTCGTGGGAGAAGGGGAGAGAGAAAGAGAGAGACCGAGAGAGAGTGTCATTTTAAGTCTCTCTCTGCTCTCTCCGCTTTCGGTACTCATATCCACTTTTCTGATTCAATGGGACTTTAGCGTTAGGCGTTCAATAATAAATAAAATATTTATTTCCCATACTATTATTTTTAGTTAATTATTGTAAATAAAAAACAAGTGTGAGCTATTTCAAGGTGGTAGTTTTTATTTTTTCACCTCACAGGAAGTTCAGTCGAAAGTACATCGACTGACTTTCTGTGAGACAGGGACACTTAACTTATAATATCAGAACTTGACAGCCACAGTTAGACGCCAAACACCTTCAGACAGTATGGATATTCAAGAATGCTTATTTCGGAAAAAGCGAAGACCCTGGCTCGTGGACCTTTCATCTGTCACCTTGGTAACTGTGGCGCTGGTACTGTGTCACGCGACCGTGACCCATGCAGGTAAGTCAATTAACAGCAAAAAAAGGATATAAGTAATTAAAGGACATTCATTTTCAATGCATCTAATATATACCAAAATGTATTTCGCAATTCGTACCTCTTGATTTTTACTCGCGTCTGTAACAGGTACGGAACTTGACTTCCCGAAGCAGGTTACAGTTATTTAGCGGAATTAACAGGTGAATGAAGTTTAATAAGCAGCTGAGTGCCAAATCATTGGCATTTCCCGTGATCGTAAATGCATCAGTTGTTTTTTCTTTCTTTTTTAAAACACATTTTTTTTTAGTTTTGGCATTCTGATCTGCTTATGGCATGGCAATTGGACTGAGGTACTGCATATGCGTGCCAGCAAGCTGCCAGCTAGGAATTGATATAGGATATTTACATATCAATCACTGCAAACGCTGGCCTCCAGACAAGTTTTTGTTTTTGTTATTTAGTTTTATTCGAGTTTATATAAAACTCAAAGAATCCTAGTATTCTTATGTTTCACTACTTTGTGAATAAATAGTCTTCATCCTATAATAAAGGGTGTCCTCTAAGTGGTAGCTAGTGCAGTGTTTTTTGCAGGGATGGGGGCCATGGGGTAGGACGGTGCGGATCTAACACCCAGCCTTACATCTGGGGTTACGTTCAGGTACTTTATGAAAGTGCGCCTGTCACTTTTTTTTTTTTTTTTTTTACCGCAGCATAAATACACGCAATGACATTCAGTAACGCAAGATTAATATAATTACATTGCACTTTAAAAGTGAACCACATTTTTGTCGCTGTTTCTGGATAATGATCTTCTGGAATTCAGTGAAGAATGGGACAGTACAATTTACCCAATCTATTATTTAAACGTATAAATTAGCATTCTAGTATTTTGGTCAAAATAGAATCAGGGACCCTTAAATTTAAGAAATAGATAAAGATAAAGCCATTATAAAATTGCTTTCTCATAACTGACTCGATTTTTTTCACGGTTAAAGGACAACACAAATCACATTACCATATCTACACATTTTTCACGTTTTTCATGTGTAATTGATAATATTTTAATTTTCAGTTATGTGGATTTACTAATCTACTTTATTTTATTTTATTATTTCATGCTTCGTACGCCCGTTACATACTGAAACTTTGTGGCTATAATAGTTTTTAGATGAATTCCGTGAAAAGGAACAATTGCGAAGTAGCGGTGCAATTCGTATTCTGACCGCTAGACTGTTACTTCCCGATTGCATCTTTTCGGCTATTTTTAACACAGAGGCACTATTCATAACTTCAAACGAATAGCTAAATCGCTTTTACTGTATTTTATTTATTATTAATGTTATTGTTATTATTTATGACTTTGTCTCAATAAGTTATACTATTTCACAGCAAACTGTTTGAATTATAAGTAATATTCTTTTATTAGATAACGTTTTAAAAGATCAATTAGGCTACATATGGATGACCGGAATAATGATTTAATCAGTTGTGGTACAAAATGTGAGTATTAAGGAATCACAGTTCGTTTAATTCTGGTAGATTTACCAGCATACCAATTACAACTGCTGACTGCTCCACTGGGCATATGCCGAAGATCACTTGACGGATTCATTTTTTTAAATATGATAAGAGTAATGAGATCGTACAGTAGAAGCATAGATACCGACTGGCAACGGTCAGAATGTGGACTTTCCTACCAAACGGTGTGTTTTTTGGCTCATGTTCCGATTTAGATTTCAGAAGCGATTGCTTTTTTCTAGTCTGGCTCCCGTGTGTATTTTGGAGGCGGAAGTCTGAATATTTTCCTTTTTTAATGAATAAAGTTATTATATGGTAGTAAGGTGGTCTGCGCATGAGCGTATCAGGGAGAGAGTTCTAGTGAATGTGTTGGTGTCAGTGTGCATGTCAGCTTTGTAGTATTCGGATTGTGGCAATTCATTTGTAAAACGGAGCGGCTCTTTTCTGAGTTTCACGCAGCCGTGACACTTCCCTGAAGTACCTTTTACAGTCATATGAAGGCCTGTGTGTTTCTGTATAAGAGCCTGCCGAGTATCTCCCTGCTTCTCTTTTCCAGTGTGTATGTGAGCAGCCAAATGCTTGTCTTTGAATAATAAGGTTATCATGAAATTCAATGCCCAGTCTAAGCTGGTGGAAAGATGGACATTTTCTCTGGATAGTTACTACCTCGGTCTTGAGGTGCCTACAGTGATAAATGCATGACTTAAATAGCAGGTTTACTTTGTTCCTGCTGTATGACCTGGGCTTATAACAAACTATGCCAAAGGCTTTGCTTAGCTGTGCTAATGGATGAGGTTGTACAATTCCTGGTGGAACTATGTGGAAAGTTTTGCATATTACATTAATTTGGAAGTTTCTTGTAACTGGACAGAAGGACATAATTCCCTGTTAAGAAAATAAGAGAAGACAGGGGAATGAAAGCATTTTTTGTGTTGAAAATTTAGTTGGGGGATATTTTTTTAACGTGGATGTTCTCAACCTCACTTCAATGAGGCCATTGTAAAAGAACAGTCTGCCTTACTAATGCTAACCATAACACACTCTTGCTAACATACACCCTCTTTGCCTGAAAGTCACATAACTAGTGAAAGGAAGCACTGTGCAGTTGGGCTGTAGCCTGACGCGTCTGCATACATTGGCCTGGGTATGTGAGTGTTTGTGTTTGTGTGTCCTGCTTCTAGCACCCCTAGTGTAACAATGTGCCTGTCTTGGGTTGAATGTGTGTGCGTGAGAGACATTGAAGATATTGAAAGAGGGGGTGCATACGGGTTTTTGCGTATTTGTTTTTTCTTTCCCCATTCTGTGTATTTAGCTCAGTGTGTAGGTCAGGTGGCATGTATGTATCTGTTTGGGCCTGATTTAAGCTTATAACTCTAAATTTAATCAAGTAGGGAATTTCAGACATCCAAGTGATCACTGCTGCAATTACTATAATTTTCTCAGTACACATTTCCAGTACATACCCCTTCCCCTTGCCTCTTTGCTCAACTTTACCATTTCTTTCACGCAAGCTCTCACTCATTTGCTCCTATTCCTGAAGTACCCCGTCTCCATCACCAGAGGGCACTCCATATCTTATTCTCACTTCTCTGTCTCTCAAACTGGTATATTTCCAATGAGCAGTTTCATTAGAATGTGAAATTTGTTGAACAAAATAAAACTAATCATACTGAGAAGAGAAGAGAGAATATGAAATTCTGTCTGAACAGTTTTTAAAAGTCTATTTAATACGCTAAATATGTAACTATTATAATTTGTTTATGTGTATTTGAAATGACTGTCTTGCTGGATAAAACATGAAAAGTTTCATGACCCAAGGCTATTCAGTGCTAGTTAGGCATAGTGAATAACTGTTACTTCTTCATCAGGACAAGTTTTACGAAAGAAGTTTAGTGTCTTCGTAGTTTCCGCTTGCTAGCTGTTATAAGACAACACTGGGAGTGAGGAAGCTTACGATGGGGTAATGGAATGAGGACAGGTCTCATGCTTGGTTTGAGTTCTTTTATATGAATTCTTATCTCATTCTTCTCTATTGTTCTGTCTGAATCGGTTTTTGAGAAAGTGCGACTCAGAGTGATCCTATCAAGCCACGCCTTTCCAAGCTGACTGCAGCGTGTCCGTCAAAACAGTAGAAATGTGGCACTCCCATCACTTGCTCCCCAGCTGCACGATTGCTTGTCCAATCACATGGAACCTTAAGGAAATTGCCTGATTGCACAGTAGTCTCGCGTTCAGCAATTTTTATTGTGGCAGTGTTGATGGTACCTGTCCCCTTTCTGAGCTACTTTTTTATTATGAGATTTTTTTATTTTAAGTGCAATATTTCCTTAATATGTTAATATTTTTAGCAAAGCAGAGGCATGGTTAGGTTAATTCCTGCAAGAGGTTATGGGCAGGTTAATTCCTGCCCTATCCATCCGTCCATCCATCTATCCATCCATCCATCCATCCATTTTCTGAAACCGCTTGTTCTATTCAGAGTTGCAGGGGGTCCGGGGGCCTAGATTCCTGTCACTTGCAGGTAATTATATACCTGCTTTCAGGTATATAATTCTTATGTTCTTATGTTCTTAGATTGTATTGTTGTAATTCAGATGCACTATGAGCAATAATCTCAGAAGGTAAAAGTTAGAAACTTACTATAGATGAGATGATCCAAAGACAAAGTACTTTTAGCTATAATATATCACACATCATATACTATAAATATAAGTGTCATAATCATTGAGAAGTGGGTCTTGTTGAAAGGTCTGATTTTTTGCTTAGGGGCATTTTCAGCAAAATGTAGACAGTACCTGCTTTCTTCTAATAGGAAATTCTTTACATGGTTCTGTCTGACACTTAAGGTTTTATTTCATAATTTATTTATTTTTTATTTTTTGCTATCTACACCCTTAGGTGTGTTTTCCTATTGAAAAAAATCCTCTTCATAGACATTTTTAATTGTTGGGTAGTTTTGAAATGGGAGTTTCCACTACAAAATATACAGAATTGCTTGTGATTATGAAAAATTGCCTTAATTGCAGCATAGAGCATTATCTTTATTTTATTGTTTCCCTTTCAATCATATAACTCCAACGACCCCCACTGAGGTTTGATCTCTCCCACTCCATACCTTTCAGCTTCAGTATGAATGAGTCTGGGCAGGGAATGGCGACTGGTTCAATCATCTTGTGGTGGAAGCCTCCACCTTGTGTGCAGAGTGCTGCGGTTGGGAGCCCCAACAGACCAGCAACTTGGTACATGCTGGCACTCTGGATTTACTTTTGCCAGTGATGCCTTTAATGGCAATGAAGGTCATTGGTCCTGCTTCCAGCCTCTTCCTACAGATAGTGTGCTAGTATGGCCTTCAGATGAATCTTGAGAAGCTGTTTCATCTGCCTGGTGGAATCACTCTGTCCACTTACCTTCCTGCTTCCCCTCCTCTGACATTTTTATTGCTATTTTGTCTGAATCAATCACACAAAGGCAGGGGTCATCTTTGGTTCAAAGCTGTCCCATATTCTCATGGCTGGACAATCCTGTGTGACTGGTCCTATGGTTCCTTTCAGGGCCCTCAACTACCATCCAACACTGTCTTTGAACCAAGGAAATAAACATGAAATAAAAACAGTGCTCTGTGTTTATAAACGCAGTCTCACAAACACGATACTGTACTTATTTTGTTTGCAGTGCTGAGGGACTTTTTTCTTCACATCATACTTGTCTAAAAAAAACATGGCCAGAAAAAAAATCAGAAAGACGTGATGTGTGTGCATCCTGTCCCTGCAGACCACAGTCAATGGTTATTAAAGAACCTGCTAGAAATGTCTAGAACTTTGCCTCCACATCTGGGATTGCACCAGCCAAACCTCGCCTACTGATATGCTGAAATTTGGTATTAAATATATATTATATACATCTTAATAACCCCTTTCTAAAGTGGGATTTGTTTTGATGGATATTCTGTCTGTGCACATTTTCGGCATCATAAATACAGGATAAATAGAGAGCTGCAACATGAATTATAGCCCTCCGTCTGAGCAGCGCACACACGCCTAGCTACTGTGGTCGGCTTGAGCTTTCGATAGAGAAGTGAGGACACACCGAATTCATGCCTGGCCTTGTGTTTGAAAGTACAATCCTTCCATCGTCATTTTGGGTTGTTTTAATCTGCACTTTCTATAAAAGTTGCTATTTTGTATGTTTGTGTCTTCCCTTAATATGCCATCTTCTTCCATACAACTAAAATTTCAAATTCCTTTTTTTCTGTAGCACTTTCTCCCTCATTCAGTCATAAATGGATGTTTATGTGAAGATGAGAGGTCAGAGGTCAAGGTGTCATGTGGTGTGTGTCTCTAATATTTAACATTGTTTCATTAAGGTGTCATAAAGAATTAGGAAGGCCCTTTACAGAAGACAAGGGTGAAGGGGGAAGCATTTTGGGAATTTTACAGGACTGTTTGAGGTTGCTTCAGTTTAAATGGGTGTTCACAGTGACCTGTGGTGTCAATGACCCATGGTCTGCTGAATCAGTCTGTGTGTGAGGAGTCTTTTCTCACTGTGTGCTATTAGGCTATCAATCTACACATAAGGTATTTGTGTACACACAGTGTGTGATCATGCAAGAGTTGTATGTGTAATGGAATATTTGGCTTAGGAAAGCCTTTCTTTTGGAGTTGATTTTAGATCAGACTTTGTTATTTGTGGTTATTGATGGTGTGTGCTTGTGCCTGTATATGTTTGTTTGGTGTCACATGACCATCTAATAAAAATGTTGTCAGACTGATAAATAAAAGTTTGTTTTTCAGAAATTCTAAATTTCACTTGTGTTGTGAGTATACGAAACTATTTTCCTGTGATATTTGATTGTATGGGAAAAAATTTATTTATGCATCAAAAAATGATCTTTCTGACAATACTGTTTCAATGCTATTCCTAGGTGTGGAATACATTATACAGAAAGCATATAATGTGTACCAATTCTCATCTCATCTGGTGGACAGAATGGCAAAAAACAGAAGTGAGCTGCACTTTTCCCGTAAAGACACATGCGGCCTTTTTCATCTGCTAATTATAGATTAGCTTGGCCTCTTGTCAGTTGTATTTCTAGGGAAACGCTTGCTCTCTTCTCTATAAGCCTGGAATTAGTGAGAGTGTCTGTAGGCACAGTGGATGACAGTGCTTCCTACATATAGCCAAAATGCACTGAGAAAGCGAGGAAAACGTGGCTATCTACCCTTCTGAGTTTTCAGCGTGTATGCTTTATGTTAGCATTAGGCATTTTCCATACTTACTACTTTTCTGGTAGAAAAGCTGGCGGGCAGATGTGAACAGGCAAGGAACAGAGGTGCACATTGTGTACTGCACACTAATGGGATTTGATAGCATCATATTCAGCCGGCAGTCTGGATCGCTCCCCCGGGTCATGTCTGTTTTTTAGGATTAATGTAGCATTGCGATATCACTTTCTCCTGGTCCGCTCATGCCCTGCCTGGCTTCCAACATCAACCTAATTGTCCCTCGAAATAGTCCAGGGAAACTCTACTTTCCACAGGATATTTTTATACATTAAACTGTTAAAAATCACTGTCATTAAAGAATATTTAATTTTGGTGACAGACTTAGTAAGACCATATATAACTATCCAACTTCCAAATCCATATCTTGGCGAGGGTCACAGGGGTTCCTGGACCCTGTCTGAAGTCATAGGGGACAAGGCAGGGACTCACCCGTCAGGACTCCAGTACTTTAAATGGCTTATGCGTACACAGTCACACACCACAGACAGTTTAGAGGCACCAATAATCTTGACTGCCTGTCTGTAGACTCCAGGAAGAAACACATGTGACTTAGGGAGAACAATATTTTCTTTTAGTCTCAAACTTCACAGTTCCCAGTGGATGAATAGATTATTCACGTTTGTAGTTCGATTGTGTTTCTGTATGAATGTGTGATTAAACTGTGCTTGACAGTAAAATTAGACCTGAGAACGTTCTTGGTATGGCTGCCGTATGAGCACAGAGTTTCATTGTCTCTCGTTTGTCAACTCTGTCTCAGAGTTGAGATTTTAATAGGACTCTGATGTTAAAATTGACAGAGAATCTTATAAACATGGCGATAAAAGCCAGTCTTCTCTGCATAAGAAAACAGTTGGTGGCCCATCAGTGTGTGACCTGAATGACATGTTCTTAAGATGTAAGGCAAAGCTTTGAAGTAGTGGGAATGTTGACCTGATGTACCGTGACCCCAGTTTGAACTTCTGGCAGTGGCAGGTGGGTTTGGCTACTTTCAGTGTGCCTGCATTTATGGCCTCCTGATGCAGGATGTGCAGGTTAATGAGAAGAGCTCCAAAGTGCAGGAAAAAAAGGCAGTTTTAAAGTGAAGGCTTCAAAATAGAGCATCCTGGATGCGCCTGAGACTGGAATGCGGAGCTGGAGAGGGCAGCGCGCAGCCTGATGTCACGGCCTATCATTAGCGCTCTCCGTCTGCGGTGAGCTGAAGTGGCCAGGCGTGCCAGCAGCTGTCCGAAACGATGCCCGCAGCTGGCCGAAGCAGCTCCCGCTACATTTCGCACAGGCAGATGCTGATCCTTCAGGTTCCAGTCACTTGAAAGTCTGCCCTGGGTGGCTTTATGTCATCACGCACTGAGTAATATTTTATAAATTATAAAAGGTTGTTGAAAGGTGTCAGTTAGGAATTTTTAACGATCCTGTTTATACTTAAAAGGAAAAAAAAGAAAATCTGAGTTGCTTCTTTGTTCTTTTAGTATGCTGAAGTATTTTTGCTGAATAGATTTCTTTAGAAATATACAATAACAATTAAAATGTATTTTAAAAATGTAGCGCATAGGACATGCCTGATCTGAGAACAGCTTATTTCTACCTGTAACATTAACCTCCTTAGTTTGAGCACTTGTATTCAGAGCCTCCCATCAGACACATAGCCGGTAGTCATGGTGATGACCCCTGAACTTTCCCGTGGTCCTTTTTCTCTTCCCCAGACCCAGTGGACGTACTGCGCGTGCTGCAGTTCCCCTCCCTCCCTGAGGGGGTGCGCAAAGTGCCAGGATTCTGTACCTCACGTCGGTCCAGCTCCCCCGACCAGGCCTTCCGTGTCACCAAGAAGGCGCAGATCTCTGCCCCCACGAAGCAGCTCTTCTCAGGTGAGCTATATGGCACCTCTCAGGACATTCTCAATTGACTCAAGAGATTGTTAATTAAAAATAATCTTAACTCATTTAAAGACTGAGTTGCCTATGTCACATGATCTTAATGTGTCCAATACCATGGATAATGTTTGATATTATATTTACGTTATATTTTATTCACGCTTTGTCACTGTTTGTTACGTTTATTACATTCTTAACTATCGTACCATAATCCATTTGGTAGTCAGTTTAATTTAAAGATGATGGATGTATTTGTTTGCGGGAAAATGTTCTATTGTATAAAAATGTAAAGATTTCTGCAGGTTTCATGTGGAAAGTAGCCTTAGTTCTACTTTTCAGATCTTGTGGTAGGTGGCTTTAGCCTTCAAGGGAACATCAGTGGTAATTCCTATGGAAGACTATGGAAAACAGGACTGTATGTGACCCCTAACTTTAAGAGCCTGTAAATGGATATAATAATCTCATTGTTTCCTTGGGCTTCCACTTGCGTTTTGCTCTTATTTGTCTTCTGTTCACAATTGTTCTTCTTAAACGTACTCGTAAAAGTACAAGTACTGAGATGGACTGTAGTGACTCCCAAAGGGAACAGAGGTGACAAATGGAGGAGCTGTAGTGCAGCGACAGCAGTGCTTACAAGAGGAGGCTCCGGAACCTTTCAGCAATACTTAATTTGTGCTGGATTCTGCCGGAACGTTTTCGTCCCGGGACCTGCGGCCTCCTCATTACCCTTGTGCTCTCATATGCCTTTCACATTCCGGCACCTTCTGATTTACAAATTCAGCACTGCCATCTCAGGGAGCACTGGTCATGAGGCAGGGGGAGCCCTGAACAGTATGCCTCAGGGTACATGCACAGGGGTCAATTTAGAGACACCAATCCACCAAACCCTCGTCTGGGGCGGATCCCAGGGAAAGGACATGAGCTCCAGATGCTGGTGGTGAAAACAAGAAACAGACCCACGAGCCTGTGATGTCACCCAATCCCTATCCAGGTCTCCCTCCCATCTCTCCGAACCGTTATGCATCTTATCCTCATACAAGCAAATTCTAATTCCCGTCCAGGCCACTTCCCAGAGAACTTCTCCATCATGGCACTGGTGAAGGCCCAGTCAGGTCTCCAGGCTTTCCTGCTGTCGATCTACAGTGAGCAGGGCGTGCAGCAGCTGGGCGTGGAGCTGGGCCGCTCCCCCATCTTCCTGTATGAGGACCAATTACGGAAGCCTGCCCCGGAGGACTACCCACTCTTCAAGGGCATCAACCTGGCTGACGGCAAGTCAGTAACACTGCAAACTCTGCTTCGCTCGATTGTGTGTGAAAGCTCATTGGCTTTCAGTCTTTATTCACATAACACTGTTTTAACCATAGAGTTTACAAAGTGCTTCACAGACATTGTAGAAGAAGAAAAAGAAATTGAAATAAGCACACAAGAAATAACAATAAGTACAAAAAAATTGAAATAGAATAAAATAAATAAATATATAGACAAATAAATAAATTAATAATAATAATAATACCACCAAAACGTAATACTATCCACTTTCTCGTTATGGGACTCTAGCCCTTACCTCACAGGAGGCTCTAATAGAGTGATATGCATTTATGTAATTATGTAATATTATAAAAATTAGAAAGATATTCACTGATTTTAGTGTCATGCATTTCAATTGTTTTCATGACTATGAGTATAATTTCGATGACACCTTTGCCTCATGAATACACACCTTTCTTTTCATAGTATAAGACAGTCTTGCTGTTCCTCCTCCTGTCCTACAGGTGGCACCGCATAGCTATTTCTGTGCAGAAGAAGAATGTGACATTGATCCTGGACTGCAAGAAGCGCATGACCAAGCCCCTGCTACGCAGTGATAAGCCTGTACTGGATGTCAAAGGCATCACTGTATTTGGGGCCCGCCTGCACGACGAGGGGGTTTTCCAGGTCAGATGGCAGCCAGTGTGATGCCAAAAAACTGTCCCCTTTCCACTAACCGCCCAAAAGGGTATTATGTGTTTATATAAGCTGTGAGCCAGCGGGAGGTACAGCAGTGGCACAGTCACTCGTATTATGGCATGTGATCACCAGCCATGTGCTTCAAAAGCTGTCAATTAATCCAGCCCATCTCTGTTAGGTTAATTACATTAATATCGTGTTGAGTGGATAAGAGACAGAAGTGCTGGAGAAGACATCTTGAAAGGCAGGGGGTGCAGGGGGCTTTATAGTTGCTTTTCAGTTCACTTCTGCAGAAGCAGCCATCCGCCTTTAACCTGGGATTATGCCATAGTATGCAATTTGACAGAAGTGCATATAATTAGTTAAAATGATACCTATCTTGTAGTCTGGTTGATTTAATTGCTGTAGTAACGCTTCTTGGAATCCACTTATGTTGTAAACCTCATCTTCTTTTCCAGATACTCTATGTATATTTATTTCGATTTGCCGTTTAAAGATTGATTCTCCTGCTATTTGTGCACAGGGAGACATCCAGCAGCTGCTGATCGCGTCCAACCCTCAGGCTGCTTATGACTTCTGTGAGCACTACAGCCCCGACTGCGACTCACCACTGCCCAAGACTCAGTCGCAGGACCCCAACGCATACGTGAGTGATACCCTATGGCAAATCCCACACCGCCATCCCATCTGCACATGAGTATCTGTTCGGCTATAATAATACCCTATGACAAAACTACCGTATGTCCCTCCTACGCATTAGAGATTCACTCCCTGTTTGTAAGTTAATACCACAGTATCAACGCAGCACACCCACAAATGTTTACACTGGAGGCCTAGGAGTTATCAGTGGGTATTTTCAGGGTCATCAAAGTCCTGGTCTCCGCACTCACACAAAACTTACACAAAAATGTTCTGAGGATAGAATAAAAAGTGATTGGTTCAGAGAAATAACCAATCTGATTGTAGAGAAGGTGGGTCCAAGTAACTAGAGGAGGCAGGACCAACCAATCAGATGTCTTGGTCCTGCCTCCTCTAATTGCTTGGACCCACCTCCACTACAATCTGATTGGTTATCTCCCTGAACCAATCATTTTTTTGTTCTGCCCTCAGAGCATTTTTGTGTAAGTAATGCTCTCCGCTTGCATGCTGTGCTTTGTATCACTCTTTCTCTCCTGTCATTCCATTGAAGTCCTGAGCCACCAGAAGGACTCCCAGGAGGCATAGCATACACAAAGGGAGATGATGTAACCATCCAATTAATATTTTATGACCTGGAGTTTATCTAACATACTGTTCTCTGCATAAAAATCGCATTTTAATTTTTAAGTTTGATGGAAAGTTCTCTGCTTCAGAAAGGAGAGGAAAGCACGACAGGAACATGAGAGAAAGCATGTTACAAACTGACTGCTTATGCTGTTTTTCCACTTGTGCTTCATGCATCATGATCAGAATAAATTAAAAAAAGTAAAAACAGTCTGAATGTTGGGATGTTCATTGGGAATGAGGCTTTCTGACACTCAAAGGTTAATGAGCATCTACACTTTGAGGGGCTGAAGCCCAAGACCAAATTAATTTGTCAGTGCATGGCCTTAAAATGACATTGGTAGATCAGCCCATAACATTACTTAATATATTTGCCGCCATTGTGAAGAGTAGACAAAATGTAACCAACATAACAACAGAAGAAAATTTTGATTCTATGAGACTGGTCACTTTATTGTTTAAAACACATTTTTGCAGAAAAATTAAATAAAATCAATTAAAATTAAATCAATAAAGGCTCTGTCCTACCTGGCTCATTGGAACTAAAATTTTTTACACGCATTGGCTTTAAATCCTTGAAACTCTAAAATAAAACAGATTTATAGTAAAAATACCAGTTAATTCCTTAAAGAATCAAATTTTGTATAGTAGAACGTATACTTATGCTTATATTGAGTAATTTAAGATTTCTTTTTTAAAAGGGTAGAAATAGTTTGATGAATATGACCCATCATTTTGGCAGTGTCCTTAATATGAGTAGCATCAGATGACACTTTGAATTTGTATTTTTTAATAAAAACTCAAAACCCAGGGGCTGAGGACATGTTTTCGGCCTTTTCCAAAAGTCTATAATCAAACCCCAGCCCTTATTTGCTTGAAACTGCTATTTTGTCATGTTGATGCTACTGAATAAATGGCAGAAGTGAATATAAATCATTGTGGTTTTATTCATTGATGTATCTCTTTTGCTGAGTGCTTCTATTAAACTATGGAGGGCCTCTCTGAGATAGCAGTGGAAGAAATTAGTGTGGGATTAGTGTGTCCTTCAGTCACTGATCATTCTAACCCATTTTCACTGGGGTAAACCTGGCAATGACTGGCAGCACATGCTAATTCCACTCACTTCAGGGGGGTGTTCCACGAAACAGGATTTCTCAGTTAGCTGGGTTAACTTATGCTAGAAGTCATGATCGTCCAATAAGAGTTCAGGTAAGGAGCATTCCTATTGGACAATCTTCTAACTTAAGTTAACAAAGGTAATTGAGTGATCCTGCTTCGTGGAAACACCCCCTTTTCTCCCATTACTACTTTCAATGGCCCAACAAGTTTTAATAGACAACAGCCATGGCTAATGCTGATCAATCTACATTTTCTTCCCTGTATTTCTTCTGTTTGCTTCCCCATGTGGTTCACCTCACATTCAATCCTGCACCCCTTTCTGCCCTCCCCTCTCGTATGTTCATCTGCTTTTACCACGACATTGCTACCTCTCCATCTCTGCCCTTCTGTGTCCCCCCCTACCAAATACTTTGATGAGAGGCAGGATGACTATGAATACCCTTATTACGAAGATTCCACCGGCAAACCCTTCTCTCCGTCATCCCCCCCTCCCTCGCTCGAGAAGGTCCCCTCTGAGCAGGTAAATAGGGAGCAAGAGAGGAGGGAAAGCTGGGGCGATCACGGTAAGGAGGCAGGATGGGGTGAAGGGAGGCAGTAACATCATACTACCTCCAAACACTTCGGATATTTGGCTAAAGAAACTTTTTGCAGGTATGCCATAGTCTGTCTGATTCAGGGACTTGTCTATGTAAGACTGAAAGCATGGGCACTGCAAAGGTATCACATGACACTATCCCCTGGCAGCCCCTTTCAGTCTGAATAGTATCAGGATCAGTCCCCACCCTGCCCCCATCAGTCCCCACCCTGCCCCCCACCTCCTTTCTCTGGTGTGCCCCACTCTCTCCCTCCTTTCCCCCCCCCCCCCCGACCTTGTCCACCGCAATGGCGTCAACGTCGCGCGAATGTCATGTACGTGTAATGTCAGTGCCACCTGTGCATATACGTGTTTGTGTGTGTGTCGGGTGTGGAGGTGCCGCATGGGCTCGGGTGCCCTGGTGCTCAGTGATACTGCTACACGGCCTGTTGCACCGAGTCCATCCAACTGTCCAGAGACAGGAAGGGCGGGGGAGGGAATTGTGAGCCAGCAAGAGAAAGAATGAAGCAGGCAGCTATAATGCATGCAATCTGCAAGTTTCTGTCCATGTATCAGAATATTTTTTAAACCTATGCTTTGGTCTCTCTTCATACCTTTAATGTGTTTTTTTATGCAAGTCTTCTCTCATACTCCATGAAGAACGTATCTGCATCTGCATGTATGTCTCTATTCTCCTCCTGTGCAATAAGTTCAAGCATGTTCATGGGCATGTAAATGTTTAAACATCTAAGCATGTATCTGTTTTTGTTCATTTCTATGCATTTGCAAAGTCCATTATATTGATAGCCGCATCATGCTTGTCGTGTGCGATTTCATGTTTTAGTATGTGTTTGAACCCCTTTACAAGGCTATTGTTGACGGTTCTTCCTCAGTGCACCTGAATATCACTTACACATTGGTAGCAACACATCCTTCTCTGTGTGGTTGGAGGACTCAGCGCCCTCTGGCTGTCGGGCAATGTCACTGAGGCCAGGTTTATCTGGCTGCCATGCCCAGTGTCACCCCAAACCTTAGGCTTGAGTTCTCTTAAACATAAATTGCTGCTTTTTAATCCAGAATATGGCATTACTGGAGAGTGCAGAAACCTTTATACAAATAACTCAGAATGAAATTAAAACAAAAATGTGAACAACAAATTCATCTTATAATTGCTTATCCTGGATTTCAAGTATAATTTTTAATTTTATGTGTTGTCTTATTGCCTTCTCTGCAGTTGATATTTGCTGTACCCAGTAATGCCAAAACTAGCTAAATAATAAATCCAGCTAAGCCTCAGCTATTATTGTATCTCAAAACATCCAACTATGTCTTTGTCTCTCCATCCCCTTCTCTGTGCCTCTTTGCCCCTACTGTCCCTGATGTGTGTCTCTCTCCGTACCATCCTCCTTTGTGGTTCACAAACTGCAACACAACACACCAAAATGTGCAACAGAAGAGCAAGGCTGTCAATGGCAACCCCAACAAGCCTAAACCCTCACTGGCCAAACCCAAAGCACCCACGGGCAAGCCCAAACCAAAACCCACTTCCAAACCAAAGTCCCCGCCAGTCAACAAAAATGACAACCGTAAAAATGGAAATGGGAAAAATGTCAACAGCCAGAACAGCAAAAACGGCAACAGCAAAAACAGCAACGGTGTGACCAACGGCAACAAAGTCCAGGAAGCAAAGAGCTTCCATGCCCAAAAGACACCCCCTGTCAAACCTGCTCCCAAGAAAGTGACTACAGCTCCCAAAATTCCTGCTCCTGCCAAGCCCAAAATGGTTCCTCCCTTTGGGAAGGCTGCCGTCAGCTCCACTGTCTCCTCGATGCCGGCTAAGCCCAGGACAACAACAGGCAACGGTTATCAACAGGTACAAATGAAGGGCCCAAGGTGGTGAGATCTAGAACCATCGGTCCCACTTGACCACAAATGACTATGACATCACTGATCGTCCAGGTTTTCCTTCACTGAATCAGCATTTTTATTGGTGCCATACACGTTACAGCCCTTTATATGTTAGTTCCATTGTTTCTAGTACACACATAATGCCACATTCCCACAACCAAAGCCAATATAATCCTATATAAATTGTGCACACATGTAATATTTATATGTATATTCATATGTAATATATTTTTAAATATAATAATCATACCTACAAGCTTTCACAGTGTATGAAAACCTGGATTCATTGTGCCAAAACTGCCGCATGTGGGCCTAGATGATCTCCACCTTTTATAAAATCCCATGTATATTTTAGTGATGGGTATAAAGTATAAATTATGAATGGTATGATATGGCAATATAACATTACTGTCATATTGCAGCATATCGTTACCTGCAACCAGCAAGCAATGTAAACTGGTCTACACAGGGTTTGCTACCACCACTAGCTGTTTAAGTAGAATTGAACTTTGGCATGCTGATTGAGTAAAATGTGTGCATGCTTTGGTCTTTACCACTCCGTAAGATGATGTCAAACAGACATTTAAAATGAAGCATACAAAGTAAGTACAGAAATGGACACAATACAGTGAAAATGCCTCTGATTCTGGTCTCTTCGCTCAATATCCTCCTGACACTTATGTCGGTCATATTTCAAATAAATATGGACATGACGAGGTCACGGGAATGGGATTATGAGGCGATGAACAAAAATGACGAAAATGCACCCACCGTGCACAGAATGCATATATTCTGACGCAAACATGAGGTCTGTATCCAGGCCAACGTGTTGCTGCAGTAACAGTTCTCAGGTCCTTCATCGAGCGAACATGAACCAAAATGTCAAAGCAGACATTATTCCTGCGATTACCCCATCATGAATATATGTACTGAATGTAACTGGCACGGTAAGTATGTAGCCTTCTCCCTTTCTCTCTGTGTTCTCTCTGTCTCCTGTCATGTTTTGTGAAGTTCTGTCCCACTTAACAGAAAACACTATACAAGCTGTGCGCCACCACCATTATCAGTCTTTGTGCAGGCTGATGGTGTAGATTTACACTCTGTTTCCAATGATTGGCTCAAATGCAGATGAACTGCAGGGGACATTGTACTCAAAAGCTTTAACCTTCTTATGGCATAGTGGCTCTTCATTAAACTTTGGAGTACAAATAACAAACAAAATCTATTATCTGTTCCTTCATTTGTAATTTCCAGTCAGAACTTAAGCACAACAAAGGAATTTGAGCTGGCTAAGGATCTTTGTCAATCCAAATCTTGCATCTAAGAGGCAAGGTTTTTAATACCAGCTGAATTCCTCTGTTTAACTGAATACTGAAAATTACAGTGTTTTGCTAGAGATTTTATCTAGCAACAATCTTCCATATTATGCACTGCCTCTATTCTCTTTGTTAACATAATTACAATGATAATAATCCTGAAAGCCTTCAGACTAACCCCCCTTTTCCCCCCAAATCTGCCTGCCTCCCCCCTCACCCCGCCCACCTGCCATTGGCTTTGGCCTATCAGGATATAGATCCTTCCCAAACAGAGGCTGACCACACTCCCACAGAGACGGATTATTATTACACCTTAGAGGAGGAGGAGACAGCCCCAGACAGTGAGGTGACTGGACAGGAAGTCCCCATGTCAAAGGTAAACCTAGAATTCTGGGAAAGGTAAAGTAGTATGGAGCACAACACAAGTCAGGATTTACAGCTATTTTCAGAATAAATGCCACATGGCAGCTTTAATTCCAAAAAGAACACCATTTTAAGACAATAAACCCAAAGTTTAAGGCTGATCCTGTACTGCATTTTAAAATACATTAGTCTAAGGCACTCTTTTCTTTCAGAGAGCTGGAATAGATGTAAATATCTTTACGAAAATGCAGAATTAATAAAATTGAGGATAAATGTTGATGTTGGTACAGGCCAGCTGTCATTTGATAGGTTAACTTTTATAATAACTCCCTACATAACAGAATAATTGCCATGGGATTTGAAATACTGCAATCACACAGTATGTTCCACATCATAAATATTATTTGTATTAAAATAATGACCCGTAAGATATTTTTTTCTTAAATGTGTTTATAAGGCAAAATTCTTTTGCATCTCCCATTTAGGTATTTTTGTTCTTACTTTGGGATTTTCTCAAAATTAGGCCAAAAATACACCGTCTCAAAATGTGAGATAACATGGAGAAGGCTTTGTCTTAAACTAACTACACTTAAGAAAATCTTTCTTCTGTCTGGAATCATTATTTTAAGATTAATAATAATTATAGTGCTAACACTTAATCAGGATATAGTCATAGAAACTTTTATGGAAATGAGAAATGAAGATGTTTAATTTTCCAGGCACAGAATGACATGTAATGTAAAATATCGCAGTTTGTTTTGTATGAACCTTGATCGTAAATTTTTGAAATTGTGTTTAATTCTTGGAAGAAGCTGAATTACAATTTCCCTTTTTAGTGGAAACCTAGTTAGTAGCTTCACTTAAGTTACAACAGAAATTCAGTAAGAATTTGTAGAATAACATGATTTATCAATGGTAGGATTTTCTTTTGGCAAGTAAACATTTTAATGAAGTTTAGGTAAAATTGTGAAATAAGCCTGCAGTTTTACACAAAGATATTTGCCTTAAACATTGCCAAGCATGTTATGTTTTTGATGTTTTAGCTTAATGTGTAGGTCAAATTATATTGGAAGAATTATTTAACTTATACATAAAAAACTGTGTGCATGAATTGTCACAAAACACAAAGAGCTTGTGAAGCATATTGATTTCAATGGAAAACTCTCTAGGTATGAGGAAAGGAAATTAGACAGACCAGGAGAAAGGTTGGTATCCTAAGGAATGTAACCAGTAAGCCCCATAACAATGTTGGCTGATAGTCAAAAGAGGCGTAACACTGAGGTCACCGGTGGATGAGCCGTCTAAACTATGCAGTTTAATTACGATCCACCAGGTGTCAGTGCACACTCTGTCCTTCTTTCAATGCCTGTTGACAAAGGTAAGACTCACCACACTGTCTCTCTCTGCCTTCTCCCTCTCTGTCATGGCCTTCACTGTCTTACTTGCCATTTCCTTTCCCTTTATTTCCTTTCGATGCCTTTGCGTGCCTCCTATTTTTCCCTCCCTCCCTGTTCTGCTCTTTCATTTCATTCTTTCATTTCCTCCCATGTCCTCCGTCTGTCCTGTGTAACTTCTGTGAACCCAGGTGGACGAGACAGTGGTGGCACAGGATGTAGATTTGGCCAAGTCAGGTGTGTCTCAGTCACCGGATGAGGTCTTCACCGAAGAGTATGTGACCGGAGACGGGGGCATGAAGGAATACGACTATTCCTACAAGGACTTCATCGACCCCGTCCGTGATGGCAATGGCGGCACCTCTGATAGCGACATCGGCCCCGCGCTGTCCGCTGTGACGGACGAGGGAGGCGTAAGTTATTCTACTTCATGCCAAACCTCCATTTCAGTTTCAGAAGAAGCTGAATTGGGATTTGCTAGTGAAGAATGTAATACATGTAGACATGCATGCATAATTGCATGTGTCTACGTCTGGCTGCAAAACAGTGGTCCCACCACAGGACTGAAGATGGGGATGAGTGTTACATTCTGGAACATAAAGGACCTGATATGGCTGCAAAACACTAATGCACCAGTGTGATGCACTCCAACTGAATCATTCTCCAAGGGACCACACAGACATGTCAAGTGGATGAAAACTGCAAATAACAGAAAACTGTTCTACTCATGAAAATTAAGAAAAAAATCTAAGCATAGTATCTTAATGAAAAAGAATGATTTGGTTTGGTTCTAGTAGTCAGTACTAAAGCTGAAACGGAACCAATTATCTGACCAGCAGCAAAGCTGGCTTACTTTTAAATTGACCATCTATAAACCTGTGAATCACCAAACATCAAAAGGAAAATAGCATTGATGAAAGAAATAGATGAAAATGCAAATATTAACTAAACACAATTTCTCTCTTAGTGGAACATGTCTGAGGTCACTCGGGGAGAGAGAAACTCCACTCTCAGTGTGTCATGGGTCCATATAGTGCTTTTGAAAATTCATAACAGAATAAAAATATAAATACAGTATTACAAACAAAACTATCACACATCATGTTAGAGGCCCTTACGAGTAGCAGGAGTCAGGGTTTGATGCTGGGTCTCTCAACACCTGGAAAAATAGCAGCCACACCGTAGGGCAGCATTTCCCAATCTAAGTTTTTGCTCCCTCCCAGCTCCCTGGCAGACTGTCCACATTTTTGCTCCCTCCCAGCTACTGGTAGAGCAAAAATGTAGACTGTTTACGAGTCACCAAGGACCAGATTGAGAAACACTGCTGTAGGGGTTTAGTGAACATCGGCCTTACCGAGACATGAAGCCTCTCTGCTGTTCATTAAAAAACGGAGCTGAAGTTTAGATATGAACAGACCATAAAACTTAGCACTGATCCAAGAGGTGCCAAGCAATATGGCCCTGCAGCCCGTTGAGAATCAAGTGTGTTTAGCATTTTTATATGTAATACCAGAGGTGCTTGGTAGTGTTTCAAAGTGTAATGAGATGAGTTTGAATGTGACAAGATGGTAGGAGAGAAGAAAACAGTGTCACCTGTGTGTACACGCTGCCCACACTGTGTGTGCATGTTTCTGAATGTGCGTGTTTGCCTCTCCTTCTCCAGCTGTTTGGAGCATTGTGGCCGTGATTCAGCATAGCCACTATGGTGTCTGTATTTCATTTTCACCAAGGAATTGTGTCAAATTGCAACATAGTAACATAATACTTGCGAAATTGTCAGCAGTAGTTCTGTAATTAACGTGTCCACAAACCAATCTATCTGTAAAAATGGATCTACCATACCACAGCGCCCACACAGAGAGACATTTGAGCATGACTGTAATGTATGGTGATATATAACAATTATACTGCGGTACACCATACCTGCTTCTGAGACATTTCCCGGGCCTCTTTTGCCAATGGCACACATTAGCAAAGGGTTCTTCCTCTGCAAAGAGACTGTACCCCTGTGTTGGAGCAAGTTCCACTCTCTTGTCAGGCAGTAATAAAAACATCCTCATGATGCATGCACTGTGTTTACATGCCATCATGACCAGGATGTGTGTTTGTGCTGCCTCGTGGTGGCAGTGCAACACAGATTCACAGTGACTCTCATGATCATGCATAATGCATCAATTGATCATGCAGTACTGAAACAATCATGGTCAATGCCCCCCCCCACAAGTGTGCCTGCGAGGACTTCTGTGTTTCAGAGCAGCCCTGCAGCTCCTGGATGGTTCACGGGTCCAGTAAGCATGAAAGTCTTTGACGTGCAGTGTTCTGTGTGTGGACCTCTGACTCCTGTACACTGACTGTGCTGTGTTTGTGGGTTACATGTGTGTTTTCCCCAGGCCTCAGTACGAGCCCAGAAAGGAGAAAAAGGAGAACCTGCAGTTCTGGAACCCGTGAGTGATGCTTATCGGTCGACAGTCTGAGCACTCAGGGCGTTCACATCATAAGACAAGCTGTCTCACTGCCTCTTTCAGGGTATGCTAATCGAAGGGCCCCCCGGACCAGAGGGACCAGCAGTAAGAATTCATTCTTTGCCATTATGAATCTACTTTTCTGCTTGCGGTTTCTGTGGTTTCAGTGACCTTCTGTGTCCATGGCCAACCCGCCAATGTGGCTTTTCACTGTGTAGCATTAATGCACGCATATCTGTCATTAACTCTGATTCACAAGCTATTTATATAGCATGTTCTGAAGAACTGGAGCCTGTTTTTAGATGTGGTGCAAAATGACCAAATGATTTTGTGGTTGATTTTCTCCCTGTACTGCTATGCACAGGTGTTTTATAGTGTATGTGCACTTCTAATTTTTCTGTCTTCCCTCCATCTCTCTCTCTCAGGGTCTTCCCGGCCCCCCCGGCTCCCCCGGTCATCAGGGTTCCTTTGGCGATCCCGGAGAAAGGGTGGGTGTTATCGCAGTCCCACGTTGATGCAGCCTCCCCAAAACTCGTAAACAGAATAACGTGTGCTGGGTCGCCTGTCTGTGTTTTATATGGTTTCTTGAACGGCTTCAATAACAAAAATAGCTGTACTGTCAGAACTTTGTTTCACAAAGTTCACTAACGTGGACCACCTATTTAAGCACCTATTTTATAAAAATGTATTTTCACTCTTCAGGAAGCGATCACTCACTGGAATTTAATCTTTAGGTATATATAAAATTTTTTAAATCAGACATCTTTAACTGCTTATGGGGCTGCTCTGTTGACCATAAATATGTATTTATAACGACAAATGTTTTTTGCTAGAAAAAAATTTATATTTACCTCATTGCAAGCACATGTAGGGCAGCTTGTGTAGCATTCAAGCCTGAGCGGAGGTCTGTCTCAGCTGGTTTAAGCCTGTTGATGGCCATGTTCAGTCAATCTTGCCCTCAGTAAACGGCTCTATTCAGAGAACAACAGGTGGTGCCTACAGTGGGTGCATTGTGTCATAAATACTGTTTGTCTGCTCCCCACTCCTGCAGGGGCCCCCTGGACGGCCCGGTCTGCCCGGAGCTGACGGAGTCCCTGGCCCCCCCGGAACGTCTCTCATGTTACCCGTAAGCCTCCTCCAGCATCTTCTTTTTTTGCAGCCTCTGTTTCTCAGCCTCACCCTCATTCTTGCTCTGGTGTCTTGAAATATTTAGGGAAGCATCTGATTACTTATGCTTATAAGAAGTTCTTAAAAATCAAGCTCTTTTTAATTACAAATATTTAAAATACTTATGCAAGTTTATCATAGAGTATAAGGTAAATGAATGCCTAATACGTGTGAAAATTATCTCTGTGAAATACTGTGAGAACTGTCTCCTGTTGCAATTCCATGCATATACCACAAGGTGTCAGTGTAACCCCATAATAGAGTGTTGTTAAAATTACATAATCAATATGAAGTCTGTTTATGCTTCAAGCCTTATTTTTGAAACACCTGATACACAGTTGATCTAAGACACACACGTATTTATGTTAATGTGATTTCTGAAAAGGCATTATTTCTGCAAACTGTGATGAATATACTGGGCTTTATGATTCAATTCCTTGAGTTTGCTTGTCCATTCCATATTTCAGTTCCGATTTGGCAGTGGTGGAGGTGACAAGGGACCCGTCGTCTCAGCGCAGGAGGCACAAGTCCAAGCTGTTCTGTCACAGGCCAGGGTGAGTAAAAATCAGCGACAACTCCAGGCCGTGTAAACCATGCAGTGTGTGACAGACCCGCAGCAAGGAAGTGTGAACAGAGAGAGCTCACAGCACCCACTGCAGGGCAGGACTGAACCTCCATAAGTAATTACAGTGTGAACAGAAAGAGCTCACAGCACCCACTGCAGGGCAGGACTGAACCTCCATAAGGAATTACAGTGTGAACAGAAAGAGCTCACAGCACACACTGCAGGGCAGGACAGAACCTCTGTAAGGAATTACAGTGTGAACAGTAAGAGCTCACTGTTCACACAGCAGAGCATTACGGAGCATTAGAACAGAATTACAGTGTGAACAGTGAAAGCTCACAGTACACACTGCAGGGCCTGATGGAACTTTAGCAAGGAATTACAGTGTGAACAGTGAGAGCTCACAGTACACACTGCAGGACAGGGCAGAGCCTCGGCAAGGAATTACAGCGTGAACAGTGAGAGCTCACAGCACACACTGCAGAGCATAACAGAGCCTCAGAAAGGAATTACAGTGTGAACAGTGAGAGCTCACAGCACATACTGCAGGGCCTGATAGAGCTTTAGCAAGGAATTACAGTGTGAACAGTGAGAGCTCNACAGTGTGAACAGTGAGAGCTCACAGCACATACTGCAGGGCCTGATAGAGCTTTAGCAAGGAATTACAGTGTGAACAGTGAGAGCTCACAGCACACACTGCAGGACAGGGCAGAGCCTCGGCAAGGAATTACAGTGTGAACAGTGAGAGCTCACAGCACACAGTGCAAGGCATGACAGAGCCTTAGCAAAGAATTACAGTGTGAACAGTGACAGCTCAGAGCATACAGTGCAGGACAGGACAGAGCCTAAGCAAGGAATTACTGTGTGAACAGTGTCAATCATCCTCACTCCACTCCACAAAACAATGAAGCATAAAGTACAGAATATCCTCTTTTAACATGATAGTGTGTGATTGCTGATGTTTTCCTGTCCAGCTCGCACTAAAAGGTCCTCCTGGACCCATGGGATACACTGGCCGCCCAGGACCCCTGGTGAGTATCACACACATCTAGGCCGATGAGGAACTGCTAGTTCTGATGCTGTTGTATGTTCAGCAGAATTCAGCATTCAATCTTATTGAAACAATTAAGAAAATTCCATTTCGGTGTGAGATTATTTATTATGGATAGAACAGATCAGAGTTCTTTTGTTTGTGTGATAGTCTCACGATAACTTCCCGATATTTTAGGGAACCCCTGGAAGTTCTGGCTTCAAAGGTGAATCTGGAGATCCAGGCCCTCAGGTAGGTCTAGCCTGTGACATCACTCTCAGAGAGGCATTTTCCTGGAGCAGGTTTTTGGAGCTTTTTATTAAGTTATGGACTTCTTAGTTTTTATATTTTTATAGCCAGGGATGCACATAACTGGTATGCAAGTATGCATTCACCGCATAAAGCGCTACGCGGGGCAATTTCCTGTTGTAACAGTGCAAAAGCATGCAAATTTTTGTGTTCGTTTGCGCTGTTATGACAAGAAATTGCTATGCATTTTAGCCTTTATACCACAAATGAAGTACGGATAAGCCGTATAAAGGTTAAAACGTATGGTAATTTCTTGTCATAGCAGTGCAAATGCACATAAGTACGCATCTGCGTTTTGACGAGAAATTGCAGCGCATATCGCTTCATACAGCGAATGGGTACTTGCATACCAGTCATGTGCATCCCTGTTTATAGTGAATGTTTTTACCTCACAGGTGGATATGTTCTATTAAAAGGTTGTACGCTGTGATATGCAACCTCTCCCTAACCTTTAAAGTTGAAGTATGTGGTGCTTGTGAACGATGTTGTGTTTCATGTAATATTTTCGTCATCTTTATTTTGTTTCATTCAAAGTTACAGCACTCACTTCCCAAAGTGGGTGTTTATGGGCCCTGGTACCCAAACTGCATCTTCTTGCTAGTGGAGAAGATGTTTATTTATGTGGCCTCAGTCTAGTGAACAAGCCTGATAAATGTGTGTTTTTGACTCAGGGTCCCAGAGGACCACCGGGCTTATCCGGACCCCCTGGCAAATCTGGACGAAGGGTGAGTGCCGGTCACCACACATTTGCACATGTTGGCATCTGTTTTTGGTTATCCTGGGGAAGTGCTCGCCGGAACTGATTGGAGATTAATTCTGGGGCTTAAAGGAACCCAGTACTAAAGGCAGATTCCCAAGAACCCGTTAGATTTTTGCAAAAACACTTTCTGATTGGCAGAGATGGAAAGTTCAGGTCCAGGAAGTACAAATGCAGACCGAGGTTGGTTGGTTGAAACAAAACCTTGGTCTGGATTTTTATTTTCTGTACCTGAACTCGCCACCTCTGCTGATTGGTTCTTTGCCTTCTTAGCGTCAATTAGTGAGTTTTGTTATAATGGGGCTTGAGTGTAAAATGCATTGATCTATGTCTCCGTGAAGGGTCGTGCTGGAGCTGACGGTGCCAGAGGAATGCCAGGTGAATCTGGACCTAAGGTACTAGCCCTGCTTTAACAGTGATTCCTATTAACTAAGGCCTTTCCCTTGTTTGGTGTTCTGTAAGCTTTGGGAAGTCTGGATGTCCGTCAATTTTATAACTGTAAGTTTGTGTTCTGGCTGTGTATTGGTGAATCTGTTTTTTGCAGAAGTGCAATGTTAACATGCCCTTCATCCTCTCCATCTTTATAATACTGTTTTCACTATATCCTAGGGTGATCGAGGTTTTGACGGCCTTCCTGGGTTGCCTGGAGACAAAGGGCACAGGGTGAGTGTGAAAAGTAATCATTCAAAACATTAATGATAATGACAAACCCCCCCCCCACACACACACACACACGCTTATTGATTCTGGAGGAGTGTGTCAGAAGCATGAACTTGTGGATGGTCTGAAGGCAATTGTGACAGTAAAGATTAAGAATTTTCTTCTTCTTATCTGTCTTTCATAGGGAGAAACTGGAGGAATGGGATCTCCAGGCCCATCTGGAGAGGATGGAGAGAGGGTAAAATCACCAGGAAATTAAGATATTTCACACTTCTTTTGCTTGACGGCATTGTGGGGTTATCAGTGTACGGTGTACCTCAATGCCTCCCTGATTTTTATTCTTAATTTCACTGCAATTTTTCAGGGTGATGATGGAGAGGTTGGACCCAGGGGGCTTCCAGGTGAACCAGTGAGTGTTTTTTGTCATCTCATTCTGTTGTCGTGTGTATGCTCTACTTACCGTTTGGGGACATGACCAATGTAGTGTATTGTCACCTTTACAGGTACAGTCTGACTGATTGGGTTTGTATTAATCGGTTTACTGTTTGTTTCTTTGCCTTGACTCTGTCTTTTTCTGTCTTGCTTTTAGGGACCTCGTGGTTTACTGGGACCTAAAGGTCCTTCTGGACTTCCTGGACCTTCTGTAAGTGTACAATATAATATTTAGAACATTAAATACCAGACAAATTTGTTTGCAGCAGCTTGATTTCTAAAACCAGACCATCTAAGTTTATCATAGACAGATGACAGAAAACATTAATGGAACATTATGAGAGAAATTTTTTGTGACAGATTATTGACAAGTTGCAAACCACACGAACCACAAGGCACAAACAGCCGTATTTCACACAGACGTTAAGGACACAGTCATGTGACGCTGGTAGGGTAAAACCAGAAGGGGCACACGTTGATGCATAGTACCATAATTCTTTCTGTTACGTAAAATATAAAACCAATCAATAACAGTGGATTATTCTGAAAGCTAAAGTAATATGTGCTTTTAAAGGTCTAGGAACAAGAATAACAGCCAAGATGAATGGTTACTATAGAAACAGCAATTGTAGAAACAGCTTGTGGTGGTAGTAATTTGCCAGCGATTAATCCTTTAAATCTTGCCTTTTCAGGGTGTTAGAGGCAATGATGGCCCCCATGGTCCAAAAGGAAATCTGGTCAGTAATACATCACAATTCTGATGATAAATGTCATTCATCACGTCCCATGCAATGCTACTATTAACTGATATGTAATGCCTGCACGGACTTTTTATATTGCCCCCCCAGTGATCATTTCAGTTTGAACCCCCTCACCCTGCATTCCTTTTCTTTCCCTGCCATACGTCAGGGTCCCCAAGGAGAGCCAGGCCCCCCAGGGCAGCAGGGAGGCCCAGGAACGCAGGTGGGCTGAGTTGCTGAGCTGCACCCATCAAACCTCAGAACATTTTGTTGTTCTGCTTTCAGAGATGCTTTTATGTTATACAGTTCTACAACTATATGCACAAAAATAATAAAACCTTTTAATATGTAAATTATGCTACTGCAGAATATATAGTACAATGGTGCAGGGATTCTAGGATTTTGTTTACCTTCCACTAAACCAAGCAGTAATTATGTAGAGAGGATCACATGTAAGTCCTTTATTAATGCTTTATTTCAGGTGTAATTCAAATAATAAACAAAAAGCATGTTTAGAATGTGCTTTTAAGCTTGAACTGCCCGGTCGCTCTGGGGTTGGGGAGGGACGTGAGGTGTCATTGTTCTGGTATCCTCAGAGTCACACGATGTAAACTCAATGATAAGATCACTACATGTGTGACACCCTGTGAAACAGTAACGGCCACAAGGAGACATGTCTCGTTTCAGGGAATGTCGGGACCCCAGGGAGCCATCGGACCCCCGGGGGAGAAGGTACGCGACGGCGCTGACGATTGTGCCAGCCAGGCTGAATACCTGCTTGTCAAGTGCATTTGTTCCCAGTTGCGATGGTGACAGTTCCATGTACCATCATACTGTGTTAATTGTACAGCGGGAGCAGAGCTGAATTCCATGTGGGTGCAGCAAACAATAGTTTTTGGGCCAATCAGATACCTACAGTGATGAACTCAGGATTCACATTTTACAAGGATGCCATAAACATTGCTAAATGTGTATATTTCATGTATTTGACAGATACATGGCTTTGGTATAGTGTATTACAAAGCATAAATACGAGTTCTCTAACATCAAAAGACAAAATGACAGACCATGGCTTTCGACTTCTTGTGCTCTTCGTCAGGGTCCCACGGGAAAGCCAGGTCTGCCTGGAATGCCTGGAGCTGATGGGCCTCCCGTAAGTGTCCCTCGTGGCCCCCTTTTGATGTCTGTGTCCAGCTGAGGGAGCGGCATTCCCGGGAGCACTGCACCACTGCGTGCCATTAGGACAGGACACCTACTCTGTGTTTAGCTGTATCCTAAATTAGCATAAACTGAACAGGCCACTTTCATCCACCAATGCTTTGTGAGCTTATGAAGTAAATACTCCTGCATCTCCTACAGGGTCACCCAGGAAAAGAGGGTCCATCTGGCACTAAAGGGAACATGGTAAGGCTTTGAGGCTCCCCTCTGATTTCTCCTGCTCTACATTTGCATCGAACATGGGAACCCAGGGGCATCGCTAGATATTTTTGACCTCCTGACAAAATGTCGCCTTGGGCCAACCACTTGGGTACCACTTTCAATCTGAAGAAACATAGGAAGATATAATTTTCTGACTGGGGGGAGGGGGTTCCCTTAGGTAGATTTTGCTGAGTGGGGGGAGGGTCCTCTTGGTAGGTTTTGTTGAGTGAGGGGCCCTCGGTGGTAGATTTTGGAGCCCATGTAAAGTATTTGCCCCCTGAATCGGCCAGGGTATCCATACCCCTCCAATTGCTCATGTCGGCACCTAATCAAACATCATTAATCATTAAAGATTTTACTCTTTTCCTTGTCTCCCTTGTAGGGTCCTATTGGCCCCCAGGGTTCTATTGGTTATCCTGGTCCCCGTGGTGTCAAGGTGGGTGTCAGTTTACTCCAAAACCATTCACTGTGACATCATTAACAGCCATCGCTGTGAGCCTGAAGATGCTTGTCTATGCATATTTGAAAATTGAGATTCTATGGTCTCTCATATCACTGAACATGAACCTTGCAAGACAAGAAAGAAGCAATTAGATTGTGCGTAAAATCATCCTGTAGGGTTATTTAACAAGACAAAAACGAATAAATACAGGCACATTAGACCACAATGACAGGAGGAATAGTCAGGATTCTCATGGAACTTAAAAAGATTGTCCTCCATGCCTGTGGAATTAGCAGAATGAGATTTAATGAGTTTGATAAGAGTAATGAGTTAATTCTGTTTGTTAGAGATACTTTAAATCCACAGGGAAATTATACTTGTGCAAACAAACTGAGGGCACTTAATTCTGATGATAATCAAAAAATAATCTTTCAGTGTGCAGATACCAGATTGACAAACTAGCATTTCAGGCTATATCTTTGTTTATGTTTTAATTTATTGGTGATAATTTAGTTTTCTAATTATTGCTAAAAATTCCATGATTATTACAGGGTGGCCAAGGTATCCGTGGACTGAAGGGACATAAGGGAGAGAAGGTAAATATCCCCTGTATGATTATTTCCACACAAAATTACATTGTAATTGGTGGACGTGTTTGAAACTGACATCAGTGTTGTTGTTTAAAGTTCGTTAGACGACTGGAAGTGGAACACATCTGTCTATGATCCTCTAATCAAGGTCAATAATTGGGAAGAATAAACTATGAAGCTGTAGCATTAATTTTCAGTGAAAGTATTACATTGATTCCTGTCACCTTTGGTTTATTTACGTTACATTGGTCATTCAGCTCGGAGATAGAATTCTGGCAAATTGGTCCTTATTTTCAGCTTCGCTGTACAGAAAGATGGATCAAGATTTGTTTTTTTCCTTAGATATCAGTCAGTACTTTTATTTAATCAGTTTTTATTCAATGTATCCTACTTCATAAACAGTAACTTTGCCTTTCCAGGGTGAAGATGGATTTACTGGGATCAAGGGGGATTTTGGTGTGAAAGGAGACAGAGTAAGGATGATCTATTAACAGTTGGTTAAATCCAATCCACACACAATTTAATTATTTATAATTTTCTGCCAAGACATAAGGACAATAATAACTACATATCATGTTAGTACAGGACGTCCATCCAGTATTATCCAGTAAAGCCGTGACGGCTCAGTGGGTAACATTGTTACCACACACCTTGAATCCTGGATCCGTTCTTTGTGTAGAGAACTCATATTCTCCTTGTGTTGAATAGGTTTCCACCAGATACTCCAGTTTCCTCCTGTAGTCCGAATGCAGGTGGTCAGGCTAATTGACGTCTTTAAATTGCCTGTAGCATGTGATTGTGTATGTACAGGCATCCTGTCCAGGGTGTACCTCCTTTCTTTATATAATCTGTGCTTCCTTAGTATAAGCAGTTAGGAGATGGATGGGTGGATGGATGGATGGATGAATGAACGGAAGGATGGATGGATGGATGGATAGGTTGTTGGTTTTTTGTTGAGTTAATATTTCTACTGTCCCTCCCCAGGGAGAGATTGGTGTGTCTGGCCCCCGAGGAGAGGATGGTCCTGAGGGGCCCAAAGGTCGTGTGGGGCCACCTGGTGAGCTTGGGCCCATTGGACTTGTTGGAGAGAAGGTGAGGGGGGGGCAGTGTTTTCAGATGTCGATCTGGGGTTATTTTAGCCACTTAAAATTACTTGTCTTTACTGTTAAATTAGATGCAGCAGCTAATACACTAAGTTACATATCATTACTGTTATTTTGACCAACAACAACAATAATAATAATAATCATTTGCATTATTTATTAACAGTTTGCCATATTTTTCTGAGAAATCATTTCACATTTTATCCTCCTAACTACAGAGGTGTTCCTGTAGCTCCAGCTGCTTAATCTGTAAAGTGTGATAGACTGTTACTGAGCGCATTGATGCACTGATTGCAGGGTAAACTTGGTGTTCCTGGGCTGCCCGGATACCCTGGACGGCAAGGACTCAAGGTATTATTCATTATTCATGACATTACTGTCGAAAACATTCAGCACGGAATTTGGTGGCAGTTGACCAAAAATTGAGCTTAATGCTTAAGAGACCAAAATTATTCTTTCCAGGGGTCCCTCGGTTTCCCAGGATTCCCTGGGGCAAACGGCGAGAAGGGCACAAGGGTAAGGATCATTAAAGCAGGATGTAGAGATTATGATGCCATTTTCTGTTTAGCCAGTATTTTTTTCCAGTACAAAGGCTTTCGAGAATATTTGGAAATGTGGCAGGTTTTTTTGGATTTGCTTTTGGTTGTATGGATCAGACAGAATTTTAGTTCCTTTAAACATTTTTAATTACTTTGACAGTTTTCAATAAAATAATCTTGAAATTATCTGCACAATGACAGTGAAATGTTAAATATGTTGTAAAATTTGTGTAATTTTAATATGCAGGTGATGTTAGCACACATGAACGCATTCTGATCGGACCACGTTATAGTCCGGGTCTATTGAACCAACTCAGCAAAGCTAGAGCACTGCAGCGTTTGTGGGTTTATTAGAAGTCCTTACCACCTCTCTTCCTCTAGGGCCTGTCTGGAAAGGCTGGGCCAAGAGGCCAAAGAGGACCAACGGTACAGTGGCTCACCGTCCAGTAATCATTAGCAGCGTGAATCATAGGAAGCCGATCCTGGCTGCGTAGGCAGACAGTGTATTATACCCTGCAGTGTGATGCTGTACGCCGTCCTATGGAGGAACACGTACTGTGCTACGCTGAACGCTAATGGATAAATGTTTCTATTATACAAACATATACTTGGAAATCAGCATTTTTAATCATTGATATGAGAATACTGAAGTCATATTAACATGTTAATGTTTAATTTATACTTGATATGCGTGTAATAGCGTATCATGTAAGGACGTTTTCTCTCTGTCAGGGGCCAAGAGGCCAACGGGGGCCACGTGGGTCGACAGGAAAAGCAGGACCAAAGGTCTGACGTTTACCCTTTGTCATTATTATGGGTTGATGATAATTTAATAGCAAAATATGTGAGATGATACATTATTGGTCTTTATCTTTGCCCAGGGTACTTCAGGAAGTGATGGCCCTCCTGGTCCTCCCGGGGAGAGGGTGAGTAAATGACTTTAGTGCTTTTTTAAGAAGTAATATTTTAAGCAGAGGTGGAAAGTTCAGGTCCAGAAAGTACAAATCCAGACCAAGATTTTGTTTCAACCAAACATTTGCGCTCTTTGTGACTGTGACTCTTTATAGTTAATCGGTTGGTTGTGACTTTTTGGATCTGACTTTTCCACCACTGATTTTAAGATCTGTTTTTTTTCACCTTGGCATCTGAGCACCTATTGACTGTCACTTCCTCTTCCTGCATGTTTTTGTCATGTGTTTAGGGACTACCTGGACCTCAAGGAGTGAATGGGTTCCCTGGATCTAAGGGGCCTCCTGTAAGACTATTATGAAAGTTTTATTATAAATAAGCACTTAATATCTCTCATTCAGTTTTGTTTTCCGTTATACATATTACATCGGCTTGTACAGCTGGTTCTCGGTGTTTTTTCACTTGTCGTATAAGGTATCTGTCATTCTTCCTGCTTATCTTCCTTCCTTTAGGGACCAGCAGGAAAAGATGGACTCCCTGGACACCCTGGACAGAGAGGAGAAGTCGTAAGTCTCTTTCAATCTTCCTTTTAATGTGACATTGGTCTCAGACTAGGCATCGAATTAGAGTTGTGGATCCATGACATAAAATATTATTTATGTGGTTGGTAACGTTTAATATATGAGTTCAACTATTAGACATGTGTTACTTATATAAATTGAGATCGGTATGATAGATTGAAATATTTGCGTTTCAGATTCTGCTTCTCTGCATTCTGCATTGTGACTCTTTTGAGCCGTAGCTCAAAGCACAGCTTGTATGTTTTTAGCGTGGTTTCATTATCATTTCATCAATGAAACTGTGTGCTTCTAGAATCAGTATCAGGAACATTAATTACGTTTTTCTTCCTCAGGGTTTCCAAGGAAAGACTGGCCCCCCCGGACCTCCTGGGGTTGTTGGCCCTCAGGTATGTTTAACGTGTAATTCTTGTCATGTGATGTGAGGTAGTTTTACATCAACATCTTTTGTAGGCGTAAATTCAATTATATGCAAGGAATTTAGGTTTTAAACAAAGTTTGTTTTCATGTCTGTTTTGTGCTGTCAGAGGCGTGTTAAACCTGTAAATGTGCATGCAGGATTACAGTAAAGCCTTGCAACTGTGTGCTGTTGCTTCAAAATCAGAAACCACATTTACATTTCATTATGCTATCCAGTCACCTTTTATAAATGTTTAGAACTCGGTTATAATTCTTCCCAGTGCTCTGTATCAATTCTCACATCCAAATTTTGTAAACTATTAATTGGAACATTAGGCTTAATTAATCAAAGTTACCATTTAATTTATTCTTTTCTCTCATTTGCATTAATTAATCATGGGTTTTGTCATGGAATGATCAACCTCGGCTGTCTCACTTTGACTGTAAATCATTCCATAGCTCCATGTCACCAGTCAAGGGAAATGCTTGCATGTTTTTTCTTTTCCAGGGACCCTCTGGAGAGACTGGCCAAATGGGCGAGCGCGGCCACCCCGGCCCTCCAGGGCCTCCAGGCGAACAGGGCCTTCCTGGGCCTTCAGGGAAGGAGGGAACCAAGGGTGACCCTGGTCCCCCTGGGCCTACAGGCAAGGATGGCCCCTCTGGACTAAGAGGTTTCCCAGGAGAGAGGGGACTTCCTGGCACCCCGGTGAGGACATCAGGCTGGCCCACGCAGTGTCCTATTTAAAAACCGTTTGTGCCAATCCTTTAGTAAGATTAAAGTGGCTGTTTTGTAGGCATTGTATGATTGGTGTTATGGTTTACTTCTTCAAATGATGTGCAAAAAAGACCTTCAGCTTCAATATGAAAGTTTTTGTTGGTAGTGACACTTTAAGATCTTATCGTTTAAATTAATTGCAACAGCCTCTTCATCTGAGATCACCATTAATAGCATTTAGCATAATTTCTGATCATATCTGGACTTCAGGATTTACATGCAACTAAAAATAATTGCGTTTTGCTAAGAGAGATTCGTTCATTTATCCATCCATCCATTTTTTGAAACCGCTTATCCTATTCGTGGTCGCAGGGGGTCCGGAGCCGATCCCAGAGGCGGGGAACAACCCAGGATGGGGCGCCAACTCATTGCAGTTCATTCATTTACATTCTGCTATTATAACTGTTGTCTTTTTGGTTCTTAGGGAGGTGGAGGTCTCAAAGGAGGTGAAGGTCCAGCCGGACCACCTGGACCAGCTGTAAGCGTTAACCTTCCACCCCCTTTGTGTAATATTTATTTACTTATTAGACAGTGGCTGCTATGAATTCACATTTTAAAACTCATTACAGTCAGAAGAATGACGTATATCCAAAAGGCATGACCATACATCGAGGTATCATGTAAATGTCTGTGTAATTCATATGTCACCGGTCATCCCAGGGTTCACCAGGTGAGAGAGGCTCTGCCGGTACTGGGGGTCCCATCGGGCCCCCAGGAAGGCCTGGCCCCCAGGGTCCTCCTGGCCCCGCAGGGGAGAAGGGAGTTCCTGTGAGTACTGCTTCTGTTATCTTGTGTTCATGTTATATTCGGTTTACCCCATCTGACCAGGGTTAGTGTCTTTCCAGGGTGAAAAAGGTCCGATTGGTCCTGCTGGTCGTGATGGTATTCAAGGCCCAGTGGGACTTCCGGGTCCTGCTGGACCATCTGGAGTACCTGGAGAAGATGGAGACAAGGCCAGTACAGTTTACCTAGTCTGGGGTGGCAGTTATCTCAGGAGTTTAAACTAGATTATGCATTGCATTTGTAATGATGTATACTCTAAGCGCTTCATTGTTTATAACTGACCTTAATCATCACTATCAGTGTCAACCATGGAAACACCATGGAAAATTTTGACAGACACTTGATCAAAATGCAATTTTTACTACTGACATGCATTTAAAAACATAGTCTCCATAGCTTTTTTCTCAGTGAAAGCATTTTGCCGCGGACAGGTTTGTACATATATGGACAAGGTGACGATCCTTGATGTGAGCATGCTCAGATGAACTTGATGATTGAGTGTGAGTGGGAATTTCTTGGGCCACCAAGTTTTTTTGGCCTGCTCCATTCAAGAATACTGTTGCATTTTTACTCACCACAAAGAGACAGACCTCCCAGAGAATGCAAAGAATGGCGTTTAACAAAATAAAGTCCTTGTCATTTCAGTGAGGCTGTATCTTTTCTGCGGTGCATTTGTCTGACACCGTTTCCAGGAGTGAAGAGCAAATGCTTTCAGGAGACATGCAGTTAGCACATCCATGCAGAGCATGCACTGTCAAACCAGAAGACGGTTCATTCATACACCTGCTGCCAAAGGAAAGGCAGTTTTTATTCCTAATTCGGTGCGATCTTTGTTACCGCAGGGTGAGGTCGGAGAGCATGGCCAAAAAGGTGCCAAAGGTGACAAGGGAGATCACGTGAGTGACATCACTTCCTTTTTCCTTCCATATTGCCAGTATCTAGCTGCATTTCAATAGACAAATGCCACTATTTACATTGAAAACCCAAGTTTTTGTCTATATTGGCATTATTCCTGCTCTTTCAGCTTTTGCTGTTGTCTTCTTGGTTTGTTTACAGGGTCCTCCTGGTCCTTCAGGGCCTATGGGTTCAGTTGGTCAGCCAGGAGCTGCTGTAAGTATAGCAGACACCTGCTTATCTGTCCATAGATAAGGGTCACATCCACAGAATAGCATTTTAAGGCAAAATAACTAGTGATATGACTTATATAAATAGTTAATATAAGTAGCATAAAACCATTCAAACATGCATTGTTTTTCTTTAATATAGCACCACTTTTCAGACCCTATAATACTGAATACTCAATACCATCATATACTTGTAAAGCTGTATTTTATTTCAGTAGAATAGTTTAAGTGAAGTGTTCCGGGCAGGTATGGGTTATATGCCCCAGTCAAACTCTGCTATATCATAAGTGTCTTAATGTTTCTGGTAGATAGAAATCTAAGCTAAGACTAAATGTAAACTTATAAATGAGTGATAGATGAACCACTGTAATTTAAACATTAGCCATCAAGTGTAAAGCAGAGCACACAACTGTAGCATTAAACATTAAACCACTTGCTAGTGACATTTGTTTCCAGATAGAAAAAAGCACTACATTCATTAGAGATTTATTACATTAAACAATCATTAATATGTTACTGGAAGGACCATCAGACTCACCTAGCTGTGGTCCTCAAGACGGCCAAATCTGCTCAGTAACACAGGGTCACTGATTGCTATGACAACATGTTTTCAGGGTGCTGATGGAGAGACAGGAGCCCGGGGCCAGCAGGGGCCCTTCGGAGCCAAGGGAGACGAGGGGACGAGGGGATTCCCGGGGCCCCCGGGACCAATAGGCCTGCAGGTTAATGTCAGCTGCCGCTGATTTATACGGGTCCTTAGGCTTACGAGCAAAGCCTTGGTACCAATGAAATGAGTCAGACGTCAGGGTTCCTCTAGCCCTAGGAGAAGAGCCATCTTCGCTTCACAGACCTTGTCTTTATTAATTCCCTCGTCTGCATAAAGATCACATATTAAGTTCATTCATGTGTTATTTAGGGATTGCCAGGGCCTTCGGGAGAGAAAGGAGAGACAGGAGATGGGGGACCAATGGTGAGTGACCTTGTCACTTCAGGCCAATCAGACTCTTCTTCTGTCCAGTGCTGCCATTGTTTTTATGTTAATTTGATAGTAATATCTTCATTAAAGTCATGCTGCTTTCTTTTTCTCTCATCTCTTATCTGTCATCTGTAGGGACCTCCAGGGCCGCCTGGTCCCCGTGGTCCTGCGGGCCCCAGTGGTGCAGATGTAAGTCTTGCAGAGCCTTTCATTTACAGTATGGTAACAGGTGCAGAAGGTGCAGAGCAGCACTTCGTAATGGCAGTTGTTACAATGACCATTACAGAACTAAACTTTTTTGTTGGTTTTCGTGTATTCTTTAATCCATCACTGGAGAATACTGAAATTGTCTCGGAGTTCATTGTATGTTTCTTCTACCCCTTCAGGGTCCCCAAGGCCCTCCGGGTGGATTGGGTAACCCTGGCAACGTAGGCGAGAAAGTAAGGACATGTCTGTGATCTATGTGTATTTGCATGTTTGCATGTGCTCTACATATATCAAAGTATGTGTAGAGATATGTATAATTGGTCTTTACCAGTACATAATGATTATCAGTGTGTGTGTAAATTGTGTGTAACTGCTTACCTGTGATCTTTACCATTACTTAAACGATTACCTGTGTGTGTAAACTGTGTGTAACTGCTTACCTGTGGTCTTTGAAAGGGAGAACCTGGGGAATCTGGACCACCAGGAGTACCAGGGGAGGCAGGAAAGAAAGTGAGAAGCTGTCCATTAAATGCCTGTCATCGGCAGCCTGTTTTTGTCATCAGTAATAACCAATGGCCTTGTATGCTGTGTTCAACACACATTGCTTTAATATCAATTCTTGTTACTCTGACTGACTTTAGAATATCGTTTGACCTCAGATAATCACTGCGCTGGCTCACTATTCTTTGCGAATGATGTCACAGAACAGTTTGATTGATAAGCATCCTTGTCCAATGGCAGGGTCCTCGTGGAGAGCGTGGAGAGAAGGGAGAGGCTGGACATCCAGGAACCCCCGGTCCTGCAGGTGGAAGAGGCCCAACTGGAGACGATGGTCCGAAAGGAAACCCAGTGCGTAAATGTTAAACAGACAACCATGTTGGTAGTTGGAAAACAACACAGAAGAAATACTAAGTTTCTGTTTTTATTGCGTTTTGAGCTGTAGCCATTTGATTTGCTTATCTTTCATAGGGCCCTGTTGGTTTCCCTGGTGATCCTGGCCCTACTGGTGAAGTCGGACCGAGAGTGAGTATTCAGTAGTTACTGACTAAGTACTCAACGTACTCTTTCAATTACTACAAATTCCTAAACAATATAATGAGTACAATTTTACAGCAGGCATTACGTTTGTAATCTTTATAATCAAGCTATTAGATGGTCAACAGAAGAGAAAAAAATAATGGTACAACAAATTTGGTTAAACAGTTTGGAAATCAGGAAAGATATAAACTGGTACTGTTTTATATTTGTTTTATATATATGCAGCCATATTTGCTTCTCTGCGTTTCACGGTACGCATGTGCTCCCTCAAGCAACTGAACGGCTTATATTTCAGGGTCAAGATGGAGCAAAGGGAGAGAGAGGGGAGGATGGTGAACAAGGAGAGCCGGTCAGTGACCCACAGCAGCTGATGCTGTTAATCATTATCATTATAATTGTAAATGACTGATGGTTATTGTGTCTGTAGTGATGTCTTCTTGTGATCATGCAGCTCAATGATCCTTTGATTCTATCCCAATCAGGGCTCTCCTGGGCCCACTGGTGAAAACGGACCTCCTGGTCCTCCTGGAAAGAGGGTAATATCATTAGCTACTATAGGCTATGTGTTTCCCAATAGTATACAAACAAAAGCACTTAAAATAATACTGGCGAGTAATAATCTTCTTAAAGTCATACATGGATTACTGATCGCAACAGCCATACTGTGCTTAGATGTCTTTACATATATAAGTGTTTATGTTTAATTCTTATTGTATGTTTCCTAGGGTCCCTTGGGAACAAGAGGCCCTGAGGGACGTCAAGGCGAGAAGGGCAGCAAGGTGAGGATTTAAATCCCCATGGTCCATTGAATGGTATCACTGACCGATTTCAGTGTACAGTGGTACCTCAGAACTTGAACTTAATCCGTTCAGAACTCCGGATCGAATCCTAAAAAGTTTGGGTTCTGATCGAATTTTCTCCATAAGAAATAATGGAAAACAAAATTAATTGGTTCCCGGCCCCAAAAAATTACACCTAAGTATGTTTTTTGTAGCATTTAAACACAAAATGAACCGGATAAAACAAGAAAAGCATATGTACTAAACACATCTAAGGACATTTATCAAAACAGTAATTTGTAAAGTAAGAAAATAAATGTATCCAAACAATGTGTACAGTTAAAAAAAACAATGTGTCCTGCCCCGATCGTCCGCTCCTTCCGTGTGCCACGCCCCCTCGTTAGCCCTGTGTGGAATCCCCGTGTGATCAGCTGTTTCTGGTTGTTGTCATGAGTCCTCTGTATTTCGTCCGCGTTTCAGTTTGTTTCCCCAGTCCGGTCATTGTATTGTCCGTCTGCGTTTTGCCTGCCTTACCTGTAATTAAACCCCGTATTCCCCAATACTCTGACGTCTGCGCCTTTATCTCAGTTCCGTCCCCGCTGGGCACGACAATATTATTATAATCAAATGTATTAATGGTTTATTATTAATATTAAATTAATTAATAAGAAATCTTTATTTTAAAATGTATTTTATTATATAATAATAATTACTGTTACTGTCTATCATTGTCTAAATGTATTTTTACTGTATAAATATATGTATTCAGCTAGTGTAAACATGCACGATGCTATCACAGCGAATGCGAGGCTGAGACTGAAGCGTTACCCTTTGTTTCCGCTGAGAGACGTGCCGCGTGACTCATTTCCCCGCGCGCACAAGTTATCTTAGGTCGGCATTCACGGTTTGACTTCTGAGATTAAGATCGAGTACTAGGTAATTTTTTTCCGAAGTGGTTCGTTTGACTTTTAAGAAATTCGAGTTCTAATGAGTTTGAAAACTAAGGTACCACTGTATTGGATTTAGTCATCTTGTTATTATGTGTCTCAAAAACCTTTTTAATCAAATCTACAAACTGAATGAATGAATTTCAAATTAAGATACGCAAATAGCAAACGATAATTACATAAAAATAAACAATAAGTCAATTGTATTTTGAATTATCGCACCACTGGGTAACCATCTGCCTCGCTGTCTTTTGCTCTCTGAATCTGCTAACAGGGAGACTCAGGTGCCATCGGCGCCCCCGGAAAGACAGGCCCCGTGGGGCCACAAGGCCCCTCAGGAAAACCAGGGCCAGAGGGTCTGAGGGGACTCCCAGGAGCTGTGGTGAGAGCCATCGGGCCCTATAGTAACATTATGACTATTCTGTTTTGTCAACCCTAATCTCTTTCCGCCATTGGTGTTATTGTGAGTTGCAATAGTGTAAAATGGAGGTCTTGCTAACTGCAATACCGTAATGCTAAATGCACACATTAACCACATGCTGTTGACACTGCTGTATTATTATGAACAATGAGAATAGAATAAGGTAGAGGTCCTGTGCATCTGACCTGTCCGTCTCTTTATGTCTGTCCTTGACCCTTACCAGGGCGAACAAGGTGCTCCAGGACCATCAGGACAAACAGGCCCCCCAGGACCCATGGTAAGGCCAGAACAGCCACTTCAGTGCAGTATAATCCTCATAATGTCGTATTCATGTCTTTTGCCTCGTTTTATTATTCCTTCCTGCCATCACTCACTAGATATTCGGGTGTTATGCTTAGGTGTCATTTTGTGATTCAGAGATCAGTGAGTATTAACCTTGACATGCTCTCCTATGCAGGGACCCCCGGGGTTGCTTGGCCTGCGCGGTGACCCAGGGGCGAAGGGCGAGAAGGGCCACGTGGGTCTGATTGGTCTCATCGGGCCCGGAGGAGAGCAAGGAGAGAAGGGTGACAGGGGTCTTCCAGGGCCCCAAGGGACAACTGGACCAAAGGGAGAAACTGTGAGTAAACAAAACTACTATAAGCATCAATACATAGTGGCCATTAAAACACTCACATTACACACCTTCACCGTTTATAAATATAGACTTGCCTTGAATTTGAAATTGGTAGTCCACCAAATTAGATATCACTTATGTTCTAAAGTCTTGAATTGCTAAAATGTAACAATATATGTATACTGTATAAACTGAAGTCATTCATCACCAATTGAAAGTACTCATTCCATCGCAAAGCAGAAAGCACTGAGTATTTGCATGACCTATGATGTCACCATTACTGTGGTTCCTCCCTGGGCCATGGGTATCACTACATGATGTTCCACTCTATTTCAGGGAATCCCTGGAGGCACTGGTCCGTTGGGTCCCACCGGACCCCCTGGTCTTCCTGTGAGTAGCTCTGTTACCTCCCATGACCTCTTGATTCTCCATCCTCTCCATCCTACTGTTATAAGGTTTCCACCTGCTGTTTAATCTTCAAACCAACCATCCACTGGCAAGTCAACAGTTCCCTTAAAATATTGTTCTGGACAGCAGAACGATCAGTTTGGTCATTGATCTAATGTGATACTCCATTTACAGTATGATCTGCTGCCTGCTATGAAAATGAACATGGGACCCCCCCCGCCCCAACTCCTGCATTTCTGCCTTTTCATTTTATTCATGTACTCTGTCTCCCACAGGGTCCTCAAGGTCTGAAGGGTGCTAAAGGTGCTACAGTGAGTACTCCTCCTTATACTGTACTGTTAGGAGAAAAAGTTCAAGCGTAATAAATCCTGATGATGAAACCATCAACAAATGATACTGGTAATGTTAAATGTGACAACAAACATGCAGCCATTTTCAGCAGTAAGGTATGAGTTACACTACCAATCAAAAACTTGGACACACCATGATGCCCACAAAGGAGAGTGATACAGTGTTACATCACATGTCCTGGCCACCTGACCTATACCCAGTAAAGAGAGTTTTGGAGGAGTCTGACCAGCTGAGCGAAGGAACAGCGGCCAGTGAGTGATCAGCATATATGTGGGATCTCCTTAAGGGCAGCTGGAAAAGCATCCCAGGAGGCCCAACTGGCATAGAGAAGAGCATGGGGTCAGCCAGTCACTGGAGCAACTGGGGTTAAGGGCCTTGCTCAAGGGGCCAATGGTGGGATCACTCTGCTCACCCAGGATTTGAACAACCTTCTGAGTCCCAACCCACAGAGCTGCCCCCCCCCACCACCATTTTTTTGTTTAATACTTTTTTGGTGCTTAATTCCTTATATGTTATTTCATAGTTTTGATGTCTTTATAATTACTCAAAAATGTAGAAAATAGTACAACTAAAAACTGAGTAGGTGTGTCCAAAATATTGATTTTCAAAATTGTTTTGAGAATGTTGTAGTACTTCTAATAGGCAGTGGAATTTTCTCCTGATGCTGACTTACATGCTGGCGCCTCCTATGTGTGTTTCAGGGATCAGCTGGACCCAAAGGCGAGAAAGGTGTCCAGGGCCCCCCAGGACCCCCAGTGAGTACCCTGTCTCAATATGCACACTTCACCATATTTGCGTCCTTGTGTACTCATTTTACGTCATCTTCCTTTGCCAAAGACCAGTTCTAATACTAAGAACAGAAGTACAGAAGATGGTAAAAATCCCCAGATGTCATTCTTACCCAGCTCCAAATTTCAAGGATGCATCAGCTGCATCCCTGCCAAACGAGAACAATCCCATGATTCATTGCATCCCAAGTTTGTTCTTGGGAGACAAGTTAGCAAGACTGGTCTAGCCAAGCCCACAAGTATGATCTTTGCGTTCTTGGTATTGAGAAACACCCTCAGTCTCCGGCAGTTAGTTCAAACGCATCCTTTGTTTTGTATGCATCCTGGACCGGCTATCCCACTTATTTCACAATTTGTTAAGGAGCAGGTAGGGATACCATGTGAATGTGTGAATGTAGCATTTGTAACCCTGCTTATTCCTCTCTGCCCCAAGGGCCCCCCTGGGGAAGTCATCCAGCCCCTGCCCATCCAGATCCCTAAGAAGTCCAAGCGCTCCATCGACGCCAGCCAAATCCCCGCCGACTCGCCCGGCGACGACTTCCCGCCGGGAAGCGAAGGCATGGAGGAGATCTTCGGCTCGCTGAACTCCTTGCGGCAGGAGATCGAGACGATGCGCTTCCCGCTGGGCACTCAGGACAGCCCCGCTCGCACCTGTCAGGACCTCAAGCTGAGCCAGCCAGACTACAAAGATGGTACATCTGCGGCCAGGAGTCAGCTCACGTCTTGGGAAAAGGGGCGACTTGCGACACCAAGATTTTCATTTTCCAGTTCTCATTCACATGATAGCATATCATAAGAATGCATATTACACACTGTATTACACAGACATTTTGGGTGTTTTTTTATGCACTTGAAATCATATTTCTGTAAAGCAACGTCAGCACTGGTGCAAGGATCCATTCATTGGAATTATAGTCTTAGATTCTTTAGACATCAGATTAAATAATTAATTTCAGTCAGTCCTCTGTCAAAATCAGAAGTTCGTATTATAACAAGCCTATTGCGATTTGTGATGCCTGAACCAGAACAACAAAAATGTCAGTAATCTGTGGGGACAGTTTGA